ATCTTCAAACTCTGGAAATTGCTGCATTTGAGGCAATATTTCCTTGTTTTCAGTGCTCGAGTTCACGATAAATTCTCCCGGTTCCAGATTAACCTCAGGATGATTGGCTGACAAAATAGCATAAATGTCGCCGTTCTCATTTTGGCGGTCGACAAGCTCGATCCCAGATCGAGATTTCCAAACATATCGAAATTCGTACACGTCAACGTTTTTCTCTTCCCCATTGACGGTTAAGCTGAACCTTCCTACGAGTTGTCGATGTTCTGGGCTGCTCATTTTAGATTCATTACATTGATTACAACGGATACAACCAAAAACTGCTACAAAAAATTTAAATTGAATGTGGTAACGTAATGCCCCAGTCTCTCTCCATCACGGAGAAAGATAATGGACTGGCACCAAAACTGGCACCGTCTGGCTTGGTTGTATTTTGTTAGTTTGCCTGTTTGTTTGACACTTAAGTAGAAGTAAAGACGGCTGAGCCAGTCGACGGGGGTTGAGGACTGTAGTTTCCCCCAAACTAAATTTCACGCTCCACAAGGAGCCATCACAACTCCCTCGCTGGTTGATAGATGATTCCAGTATCACCTGACAGCACATGCTTTACAGCTCCTCAGTTTTACCGTCCTTGAGAAAGAGAAAGTAGATCTTTTTCTGGCCATTGAATTCTTTCATGAACAGGAGCAAATCATTGAGCACATGACAGCTTTTAAAGATATCCGCCTATCAGCGGTTGACGTAAAGAAACTCATTTTTACGTCAATTTTGCGTCGGAATTTTTCCTCGATTTTGAAATGAGCAGGTGAACGAGTGTGTAAGTTCCGGAACAGGCAGCTCTTACCCGCAGCTTAGACAGTAGCCTCCTGTCAGTCTTGTTTGTTTGTTTGTTTGTTTTACGCCATAAAGGTTTGTATGGAAATGAACCAGACCCAAAAATCTGAGCTAGTTTCGATTGAAAACAAACTTACCTCGCGTCTGTATTTATTTATTTGCATCATGTAAGTTCTAGAAGATGAATTACGCCTGTTTATATGCGTTATTGATTAGGCGTGAGGTCAAGATGGCTGGATATTGGCCGAGTTCTTTTTTTTGCGTTTTTTTCTAGTGACCTCAAGAGAGGATCTACTCTCTCAGTGACCACTCGACCATTGCGAAACACCGTGTAAATCAGATACGTGAAAATTTCATACACAATTCCGGTGGGGTCAGCGAGAAAAATCTGAGGAGTGTACTATAATTTAGTGTAGGGAGCAGTTAAGCACAAATGTCTTTGTGACGGACGGAAGCTGCTGGAAGTTAGAAGTTTTCATTCTTAGTGCTCACTACACCTTTCTGGTCAGCACAATTTGGTTTAAAATGCTAAACGAACGACAACCTTACAGTGGTTCTATTGACGACAAAGCGTGCCAGAATTAGTTTTAATCTTCTTCCGGTTGTTCGTGTCAACAAAACGTCTCTGCCTTACTTGGACTTTGACATTCCAGAGCAACACACCAGTGTTTCTCGTACATTCACCTACGTTTCCGTGATCAGATATTTGAGAAGTTGTGCTTTCTAAGACATTTGAGAAGGCGTGCTTTTTAGGACATTTGAGAAGCCTAGATATTTGAGAAGTCATTCTTTTTAGGATATCTGGGAAGTTTCGCTTTCTAAGACATTTGAGAAGCAAAGACATTTAAAAAGTTGTGCTTTTAAGACATTTGAGAAGTTGTGCTTTTTAAGACATTTGAGGAGTCATACTTTTTTACACATTTGAGGAGCCAAAACATTTGAGAAGTCCTGCCTTTTATGACATTCGAGAAGTCGTACTTTCTATCACATTTGAAAAGTTGTGCTTTTAAGGCATTTGAGAAGTTGTGCCTTTTAAAACATTTTAGAAGTTGTGCCTGTTAAGACATTTGAGAAGTTGCGCTTTTAAGAATTTGTTGTGCTTTTTTAGGACAATTTGTGCTTTTGAGAAGTTGTACTTTTAGGACATTCGAGAATTTGGGTTTTTTTAAGATATTAGAAGTCGTGCCTTTGAGGAAATGTGAGAAGCTGTGCTTTTTAAGAAAATTGAGAAGTCGTGCTTTTATGGCATTTGAGAGGTTGTGCTTTTTAAGGCATTCTAGAAGTAGTACTTTTTGAGACAATTGAGATGTCGTACGTGCTGTCGTGTTATGGGCACGCGAAGTCGAGAGGCCACGATGTAGTGACTTAGAACGTAGCGTCACGGCAACCACAGAGAAGATCATATCTTGGGTGCTGTTAAGCAAAAAATAATTCGTTTCAAAACGCATTCTTCTTTCTTTAGTGTATGCTGCACCCAATTATTTATTGTTCGAAAGTCAAACTACGGTGAAGAAACTCCGAAACAAAAAACTTCGAGTAAAATCGGGTGAAGTTCGGCGCTGTAATGTAACTCTCACTCACTGACTCACTCTTAAGGCCCGACCAAACGCACGCCACATTTCAACGCAAAAACTTGTAACATTGTTGCGCGCAACGTGTTGCACCAAGGGCATCCCAAGCTCACTCGAGAAAGGGAAATATGAATTCTCGGACACGTATGTGTTAGCCTACGTGTAGCCACGAGGTGAAACGGAAGGGAGGGAACGTAGAAGTTTCCTTACCTTCCGTTTTGCCTTGGGAAGGAGGGTACGGCTACACGTAGGCTACGTATGTTACACAGTGTTAGGTTGCGCGAGGAATCGTCGAGAATTTGAATCCGTTATAAGGAATAGTATGGGGAACAACATATGCTCCATTAACAACGCTAAATATTCCGAAATATCAACACAGTTTACTATCTGAGATCATCGCACCCTGGAAAGTGTAAAAATCTCCGCGCATTACGATGAAAACGAGTTTTCCACCAGCATTTCCAAGTGCTCGTTATGACTAGAATTACAGTGATGGCAAAGCAAGCCCAAAACGGCAGAGATCATTAGAAACTACGATGGACACATAAGGAATGAGTTAGTTTTATTAATCTTACTTGTAAAATGTTCATGTCTCGAAATATTTAGCGAGTTCAAATTCTCAACGGTTCCTCGCGTAACCTAACATCCTATGATACAATCCTAACGCTTTCATTAATAAATACGTACGTGTCCGAAAATAATATTTTCCTCTTCTCAAGACCTGAGCATGTTGCAAGATGTTGGATATATGATTTTCACATATTCGTAGTCAAAGTTGGATTAAGTTTGAAAAATGATCAATTTTTTGTTGCAAGATTTTTGGATGTTGCAAGATGTTACGTGCGTTTGGTCAGCTCCTTCACAACATCTCACAACACTATCCAACAATGTTGACAAAAGTGGCTTTTCTCGTGTAGGAAGCAGTAACTACAAAAACTCTTCATAGCCTAAATACAACTGAGTAAAGCCCCTTTAAGGCTAAAAGAAGCAGCCTGTTAAAATATATTGGGCACTTCTATAGGGAAAGAACTTCCTAATACGTGTGCTTTTACGACGTGATGTTTAGCATTCCTCGGAAGGTACCGTCCTAAAATAATCAGGTTATGATAAGTATACCTTTATCGTAAATTCGATTAGGTTATGACCTTACTGCTTTTTTGCCAGTCCGGGGTAACCTTGACCACTGAAAATACGTGAGGTTTGTAAATGCGAAATTGTACGTCTCGAAAGGAATAAATTGAGTGATTTGAAGCTGGTAAATTCAGTTGTGGCACGAGCTAAACGGAAGCACCTACTAACTGTTCATCCCGACACCATCTGCAACAAGGTTTAACATGAGTGACTTTTACACCGGTGAAAGTGAAAGTAAGAGTATTGCATAACTGATAAGAAGGAAAAGGGTGTTAATTAGGTCAATCGTTGGTCGTAATTCGACAAAAAAATCTAGCCGTTGAGCATGAAAATTGATAAATTTTAGTCGTCAAACAAAGTTAACTGAAAAAAAATTTTCCTTATCGCCGATGCATTATTTTGAAAGTGCCAAAATCTTCGACTGTCTCGTCGTGTTGGCAATGAGGGAAAAAAGAAAACTGCTCCATATCAACCTAACAGCGGCTACATCTGGACTTACCCCTGTAACTCGACTCGTATGGTAAAAGCCAGCGAGTAAATGTGTTTTAGAACAATGAAAATCAATCATTAACTTTTCAAAATGATTCGAATTCTTGACATTTCTTGTAACCGTGACAGAAAAAAATTAACCTTTAGCCGTAAAGACGGCCAAAATTTTAACCGTTAGCTTTAAACTTTACTTGGTCAGCTAAAAATCACGTACCCATGCTTATCAAACATGCTTAAGGAAACATAGAGAATTGTAATTGATTCCATCGCCTTAAATATGAGTAAGCTTTAGTGTTGGAAAACAGAAGAGAGTTGTAAGTTGAAATAGAGTAGTAAAGAGCAGCAAGTGAACGCTTTAAAATAGTCGCTGGTGTACTGTTATCCGACGTAGACAGAATTTCTCCTCACAGGATCAATACGTTATCAAACAGGCAAGTGATGGGAATGAAGAAATATATAAATTAGGGGAATATCAATAATTCGTGACAACAAAACAACGTTACAACCTGCTATATGGTCCAAATGATAGAGGAAGATTATGTGGGACCCCTCAATTGGAAAACAGTTACGCTAGAAATATTCCATGAAGGGATCGCTCATTGTTTATCGCCTGAGGGGATAAACAATGGGGAGGAGAAACCGAGGGTAGGGGGGGAATCGGAAGATTTTGGTTAGGTCACGAAAACAGTTACCTGAACCCCCGTAAGGCTCTGTAATATTTTTATGATCCTCCTAATTGGCACCCAATCTTCCATAGTCCCCTTCCTCTACACTCTTCTGTTGACCTTGAAACCTGTGACCCCCCGCTCCCCCTCGCCTGCATATGAAATGGTCCTTAAATGCCGCAGAGAGTAAACAGAAGACCACATTCCGCGTGGCGTTACCGTGTGTAGGAAGGGTTGGCGGACAAGTATCATGTCATTTACGTGTGCACAGATCCTTTCTTATAGAAACTAGACAAGTTTAATGAAGAAAGTATTGAACATATTCGTTTTCTTTTATTACGATGGTTTCCATCTGATCTCTTTGCAAATGACTTCATCAAATTTTACATATTTTCTTTACAGTCCAACTGTCATAAACTTGATCTATTCTGTATACAAACTTTTCTACTTAACAATAGTATGCTGAACTCATAAGCACGTAAATTTGCGGAAAGAATGCAGTCTCGACATTCCCTCTACGAGTTCCCCCAACAGGAGAGAGATTTTCTATCATATGATTCAGAAGTATGAGACCCGACCGTCATGCCAAAAATGGCTTCAAAGGGGGACCATCCCATAAAAAATCTTTACATTGAACAAAACAATATAAATCGTAAAAAATAAAAATTACTTTCAATTCGGCAAAATCTTTTTTGAGGAAGGGCGGGGTGGGGAGGGGGTTAAATTTAGCCACCTTTTTTTATCTAGTCCCCTTAAATAACTATGACGTGAGTTAGGCAAACACATCACATACTCAATCACAGGCAGAACACACAAAAAATATATTGAACTCACTCACTCAGTCCGAAGAAAAAAAAGAGGAAGAAAAAAGCGACCTCTCGATCTATCAATAAACCCCACAATTCAGTGGCCCAGAGACAAGGAGGATCAAACAAGAACCTCTTGTAACCAAGCCTACCTATTCTGAAGAAGTATGTTCTGGTGTCCGGACTTTTTCTGCTTCTATGGGCTTTAGGAACCTTGGACGAATTACCACTGGTACAGCTGAGAATAAATCAGGTAAATTCGCGGCGTCAGGAAAAAAGTGTGTGTGTTCTCTTCTGCCTTTTTCCTTTTTAATTTGTTCTGACTCCTTTTCGCTGATATTGTCATTCCTAATCTATAAGCAAGCATGGTCGCTTAAAAACCCTTCCGTGGCTATTACAATAAGAGCTGCCCCGTTCAAAAAGAATAGAGAGCGTTTCGAGAAAGAGCAGAGACAAACCAAATCCCAAAGTAATCCTAACGACCAATCAGAACGGCTGAAAATATCGCATAGAGCAAATGAAAACTCAGAGCAAATAAATTTAAACGACATAAAGAGCGGGAAAAGCGGCACACATCACAAAGCAGAAGTGGTTTTAAATGTTGCATCTGATTGGCTGAGGGGTGGCACGAATTTTGGGACCAATCACAGAGTGTAGTGAAGAAAAATCAACAAAATCTCGGGTTTCTTTCCGACACTCAGTTTATAAATTGCTTCATAAGGAAGCAGCTCTCGTATAACTATGTTTTTCTTCAGATTTGAAAAAAGAAGCTCGACATGTTTGAACGAGGGTCCCGATCAGTCTTACCCGTCATTTCTTTAGTCTCTTCTTGAGAATTCCCCAATGAATCCTGTGCAGGAATTTGCTCTAAATCTAAAACATAGGACGACTTAACCTTAAGCCACGCGAAAAGAGAAAATTGTCAAGGACTGAAAATTGTAGGCTGGGTAACCACTCGTCTTGACCAAGTGAATAAGTCAAGTAAGAATCTTTAAGCTACAAAGACTTAAAGTCTCAACAACGAAAGTATTTATGTTGGAAAAGTGGTTAGCCCGATTTGATTTACCGTTGATTCATTGGACTGGTATCAGATAAGGTACAGCTGCTAAAGTCACTAACAAAATAGAGGCAATCTCATAGCGACCACAATATCTGAAAGCGAGAAAAAGGACATTCGTATGGGTGAATTCCTCGACACTATGCAACGCGATTTCAAACTGAAAACAGTTTAGAAAGACTCTTAAGGGTGGTTTTGCCGGTTGCATCCGTTTACCTGCTGTTCTGGTACAGTATACGGCTTTTATATACAATACGTCACATTATACAAACCTGAGGCGCCAGCTATGAGAGGAAGGAATCCTTCGTCACCAGTTAAATCTCTCTTAGGGAGTTTTGAGGAGCCATGTTCCTCGTTAGAGGAGGACTTTCGTTTCCGGGATGCTGCAGGTTTTCTAGCCTTGTGCATAAGCTTGCATTGTGAGCCTTTGGAGCACTTGCCTGTCCTTGAGAATTCTTCACATTCTAAGATGTGCTTTTTGTTACACTAACAAAGAAGAAACAAGAAAGATTCAATAGGGCGACTCTACTTTGCGTTTACAGCAAACAGCTTGGTAATCAAAACAGTTGATGTGAAGCGGAGCGGTTAAAGTTTTGTTCTTTAGCTGATTCGTGCATTTAGAATTATATTAGAATTGTTTTGTAAATTATTTTAGCTGTTTCACCAAGGCAACTCAATTCCCCTAACCCCGAACGTGTTCACCAAAATATAGAAACAAACACAGCACCGCTGTTAAACCAAAATATCAAGACCAGCGCCTTTTTTCTTTCAGTAAGTTTGTACGTCAGGAAGGGCTTTTCACCAACAAAGTTGGGCATACTTACTTGTTGTCCTCGAGCACAGAATCCCTTGAGAAAATCTTCGCATACTTTTGCCTTCTTGCTTACGTTAACGTGGGAATATGGGCAATTGTCGTTTGAACATTTTCCGCGGAGAAAAAATTGACATACTGGCATCTGAGACAAATCGAACATTTACAGAAAGTTACTTGTGCCACTTGCGTCTTAAAACTGGATTTTCACATTTATAAACGAAGGAAAAAACCAAAACAAACATTACAGGAAAAAGAAAAATATCTAAGGTGCCAACAAACCTTATCTGGGTCAATCTTATGAGAGAACGGACAAGATCCATCCAAGTTTTTACATCGACCACGAAGAAACCTACAAAACATTTCAGCAATGGTCAATTATTTGATGTGGTCTAGCTTAGGTGTTTTCCCATCACAAAGACAACTGAATCAGCCTATAAGCATACTTACTTTGTGCAAACCGCAACTTTAGATGGGTCGTGAATATATGGGCAAGTGTCCCTCTTATGGCATTTTCCTAAAGTATTAATAATAACGTTTTCGATCTATTTGTCTTGTTTTATGAAGGATCGTAAAAGATGAAGTGCAAGGCATTGCTTTTAAAATAATTCACATGAAAAAAAGAGAGAACCCGAACAAAGTTGTTCAATCTACTAACAGTTGTTAAAGTGGTTTATTACGTAGAACGAAAGTACACTCTGCACTCTTGTCAATAGTAGAAATAGAATTTGAAAAACCCGGCAAAATACAATACATCCTCGCAAAAGAAGACTAAGAAACTGTACAAAGGTAAAGAAGAACAGCAACAGAACGGTTTGGCAAAGGTTTCAGGTCATGCTCAAGATCTCTTATGGCGATATCACAGCGATTGCACTCTCAAGAGAACGAACCGGAAATACTGTAGAAACCTGTTCCAACAAGGGTCCCTAGAAATGCTCAATAGTACATGTATTCATGGAGGCGAAGGTAAGGAGACGTAACTCACCGAATCTGTTGTAGAACATGCAGTACTGCTCCGACACGGGTTTACTCCTGTTCTTGTTATACACCCTGGCATTGTGAATACTTCGCCGTAATACGCGACTGGGAACAGGAATAAGTAATATTTAGCCTCGGTAGTTTGAAAAGAAAGAATGCATAGGGAACGTTTCTGATGGAGTTCAATATAATTTTTTAAAGGTAACTGAAAGTATATATTCCACCAACACTATTTCCTACGGTCTCCTTGGGTTCTTTTGCGGGGAAAGTGATTCGAATGGAGTATCTCTCCTCTTTGTTCGTGACTGGACACACACTTTACCACTTTCAGATGTGCACTGTTTTATCTTTTACTTTATTAAGGCCAGGATATCATTCTCTGGTTATAATACAAGTAAACTTCATCATGCGTTCCCCACATGAACTGAGATCGACAGCTCAAAATACCTGGCAAGAGCCTTGCTTGGTGTGTTGTTCAGTTTACTTCTGATTAGTGTGGTTGGCGTTCGCAATATAATCATGTGGCCGTTACTTGTCCGCCTTCTACTCATGGGTTTCTGACGTAGTTTAGAGGAACCTGAATCCCTCAAAGAAGCTCGTCTGGGAACTAAAGGTAAGAAGCAGTCAGTCACACTGAAAATAGTCTACGGTAATTGATGCTTCGTGGGTCAATAACGAGTTTTACGATTTGGGCTGAAGGAAGGGTGTTTTTTTTTTGGGCAAAGAAGCGTCCCTTAGACAAAGGCTTTTATGTACTTCTTTGAGAATACACTTAAACTGTAGCAACTTATGATAAAGTGTGCGAAAAATCTTGTCGAATTAGGGCACAATAGGAGTACACTCCCTTCCTTTTTTAAAACGTCTGGATCGTCTTCAATCAAAGATACGGTTGCTCTATTAACTTCATAAATACCTGAATCTATAAAAGTAGATTAGGGACTAGAAAACGCTCTGCACATTCTAAATCTGAATTGGAGCAGTATGGACTTCTCGACTTTTTGTATGAATAAAAATAAGCCAGGAAAGGATGAAACAACGATTCCCCTTGTAATTGTACTGCTTCTGGTAAGCTACTGGTAACCTCACTGAACGTTCAGGGAAGGGGGAATTATTAAACCATTGACTCTCAGGATTGATTAACGAGTAACTTCTTTCTGAATAGATCAATATATTGTCTAGCAAACAGGTCACGAGAATACTCAAACTCATCAGCTGGAAGCTGTTATCTTGATCTAACATCAAACTTTCGTAACCAAATTACAAAGAATGGTGTGGCAGCCAAATGGGAGAATTTACAATCTAGGTCATGTGCGGTTTTGTTGTTGAAATTTTAGGTGGGATAAGGAAACAGAGAAAAGCAACGGAAGACGCAGTTGACAAACTGCTAGCTTCCCACCATCACACAGATACATACCTTTACTGATTCTCTGAAGAGTCTTGCCTTTTGAGTCCGAAACAAACTTCTCACCTTGAATTATGATCGTTTTCGTTAACTTCCCTGAAAGAGGATAAAGTTCACCTGTTACAATGTACGTGCAGGTTTAAAAATTTGCAACTCTATCTTGCTGGGAACAGACATCCATCAAATGGTAATAATGATTATAATATTAACCATAATAATAATCATAAATTTCATCAAATTCTACATAATTTAAATAAAAAATTAATTTAAAGGAAATCATCCCTGTGGCGATCATGTTACCATGAATCCAAAATGGAAGAGCACTTTTTTAACAAATTGATGATAAAACATACAAACACTAGAAGATGTGTTTGCAAAAATCATGCAATGGCTCACCGACTCCCTTGCTGCCTTTACTAATTCCCTTCTCAGCTGAAGATGACTTGGCTTTGGTCAGTTTATTGGATGAAGTCTTATAGGGAACGCCTCCAATTACTACCACTTTATTCAATTTCTACAAAAGAACATTGATAAAATGTTGGTCTTATTAATTAGGACAAAAACACTCTAAAACACCTTTACTTGATCACGGAAGATATAGAGATAAAAAAAACAACCTCTTGTTAAGTGCAGGTGCAAGCAGAGAAATTTGGATCAAAACCTTATCCATTTACACCATAGCATTAGTATCAATTTTCTCCTAGCTGTTCTTTTTGCATGTCCCATGCTTCTGACAAGGAGAATGACAATCAGGAGCTTCTACATTTGATTCAAGGGTGATACTGTAAGGATAAATTAGAAGCCAGCCACTCTTAGAGGTTAAAGGGTCAAGATAGGACTTGCTGATACTGGACTCATGTCACCTTCATCTCCTTGCAATTCAAAATTTTGTGTTGATAATTATGCAATATAAGTTTTTTACCAGTAGTTTCTTTTTTTTTCCATTGGCACTCAGTAAGGAGCCTAGTATGATAAAAACCCTGTACTTTCTGTTTCACATTGTATCTTTTTTTAAGGGTGAGGGGGGGAATTCAAGCTAAACCATAATACACAAACTTACTCTTGCTGTTTTTAAGCATCACCAAATGAGAAGTTAAGAATTAAATAATTTATCATTTTTTTATAATAACCAAGTTTCCTGTACAAATGAACAAACCAACACATGTATGTGATGCTAAAAAGCAAGCACTTACATAATGATAAAAACCAACTATTGTCAGCATCATTACCGTAATTTCCGGTCGTTTACCCGCGGGTAATCTGTTGATTTTGCATTAAACGCGCGCCACGGCGGGTAATAGGGAGGTGCGGGTTATGTGACAATTTTAAAATCCAGTGGTAGTTGAATTGAAAAAAAATATCACCAACATGCGTTTCCACCTCTCAAGTAAATTTTATTGTGTTAATAGTTCCGCAAAGCGGCACGAAAACATGATGCCGACTCGAGTTTATTTCACGCATAATTAGTTGCGCGACGAACAAATTATTATCGGCACGCGTGAAAACAAAACCTTGATGGTGACAAAAATTATCCAAAGATATCCGGCGCATCAGTAACAAATTTCCATTTAACACTAGCTTGAGCTAAAGAGAATTTTCCCGTTTTAAGGGACTTGTTAGGCCCAATAGAACCGGAGATATCGATTTTTTCAGAAATCGCCGACAGTACTTTATAATTCAAGTTTTTAATACTCACCCAGCTTTTTTTCAATAAATCAACATGGCGCTGAACGATCGCTCGCACAGAATGTGGCCACAAATTCGCATTCTGTCAAGTAGGAAACGTTGAGATTTGGGCATGGGCCGCTAGTGTTTTTACTGTATAATCTTATCAATAAAGTACATGCTAATATTGACACAGAATTGTGCACGCGTCTGAATTTCTTTGACCTTTAAACTCGACAAAGACGCTTTCAAGTTTTCGAAAGTTGGATCAGACAACTTTTAAAAGACTGAAATGTATCACCTTAATGTCACGTTTTTGCCACCAAAAAGTTGAATAACGACGTGCGGGTTATCCACCAGTGCGGGTAATCTGTTGACTTTTTTTTTCGCCGTATGCAATAATCGGCCGGTGCGGGTAATCGGCCGTGCGGGTAAACGACCGGAAATTACGGTACTTTCTCTGTAACAAGCCACTTAAACAATTAAGTGGTCAGATGAATAAAGGGGGTAAGTTTATAAAGAAACTGTGGTGCTGTGTCAGTTGGAGAGTATAACTGGGTAATTTGGTATGATAAACTGAGCTGATATTGTAAATTGGCCCCTGTTAGCAGATTCAAAGCAGGAATTTTGAGCATTAGCCCTTTGTCAGAGCAAAATGTGGACAGAGCTGGGGCAACAGAGGCAATACAATATAACACAGTAAAAGGTCAAATGAAGTCTGTATTGAATAACAAACCTGGGCTTTAATTGGAGCTTCTTTCCTCTTTGACCTCACAACTCTGTATCTGGAAAATGAGCAAACAATAATACATATGATAGTTTACATTATATGCTGCAATCTTGGACAATATTTGCAAAAAACTTAAGCATACAAATACACTACACTAAAATCACCTTCATCTCCTAAATGTCCCATTTCAAAGCTTTGGTTTAAAAATACTTGGCATAACATGGTACTTTTACAATAGTCAGGCATTTTTCCCTCTTTTAAGCAAGGTAAGTAAATAAATTTTCAAATCAGTAGAGCAATCCTTTTACCATGTGAATTTTCAAGAATTCCAAGCAATTTTAGGCAGGAATAGGAGGTACATGTTTTATGGGCAGTAAATGTTACCTGTTACTTCCTGAAATGGAGAACACATTTTTATTATTGAAATACCACAATCAGTGAAGGAGACAAATTTTGTCACTTTCAGTTGTGGGTAAGTTTATCTAATGGCCACAAGTAAAAAGTCATTTTACTCAGCATGTCTAAAGAGTTTAAACAGTACTGCGTCAGATGATCTTCTGCCTAAAATACTTAAGGCACCTTTCTTTTTGCTCAAATATAAAGTTGTATCAGTTATCTCTATAGTAAATTTGCAAGGTCATGTAACTTAGTTCCACACCTTGTAACCACAGGACTCTCTCCCTGAATGGTTCTTTGCCTTCTGTGCACAAGAAAACAAAAAAGACTCAATCAGTGTTTAGTGTTATATCATGATAACATAAGTATCTTGATGATTTGTTATTGGTTAATGTTAGCTGGTTTATGCAATAAACCTGCAGTAAGAATTTATGTGTTGGTCACTTTTGGGAATTATAGTGATGGAGGCCAATTAAAAAAAACACTGGACATAATAAGGTTCAGTTCTTACATCTAGTTTGTTGCAGAAACTGAGTTTGGTGCTTAAATGATAATGAAAGTATGCAACAGAATCAACTTTTAATTAGTTAATGTTTTTCATAGTAAAAGACTGCCAAATTACTCCACCCACAGTCCAGAACACTGACTTTTAGGCCCACCACTCTCTAACAATAAATAAATAAACAATTCTTCTCAAGATCATAACCATACCTGTCAATGAACCCAGCAGAAGATCTTTGTGACAAAACCTTTTTACTTACAACAGAATCTGTCTGCAAAATACATTTATCAAATGTGTTAGGAAAAATGACGACACTGCAAGTATTAATTCAGTAAGAGCTAAACACAACCTCTTAAAAAAAGCTGCTCTTCTGTAAGTTTTTATGCTCCTGGGCCAGTTGTTTGAAGGTCGATTAGCACTAACCCGGGGTTAAATTTCAATCCAATTTTCTTATTTATCTCTTCAAAAGCCTTTCTGAGAAAAATTTCCCCATTCTTTTCAGAACATCTGATCATCAAATTGATCATCAAAAAGATTTAAACTGAATTTTCTTTTAAAGCTTTCAGATCTGAAATAAAATTTCACACTTACCCTGGGTTATCTTAACCCAGCTTTGAACAACCTAGCCCTGAAATTATTCAAGGTTTAAGCAAGTGTAAAATTGTTTGCTATTAACCCCTTATGGTCATGAGAATATAGGAATGATCACCAATTAAAGACCTTCTTGCTTGTTATGCATATTCTCCTTGTCAGCACTTAAGGAAATGTATAGAGAACAGTATGGAGAATATGCATACTGATATAAGGGTGTAAAGGGTTGAGTGAAAAGAGTTTGAAAGTCACAGGGGTACACTCTATTGAACATTGTAAAACCAGTCTGCAAAATTGTAAGTCTGTCAATTCAAATTCTGAAGGGTTTTTCAGGCCTAAGAAATCCTGAGATACAGTTGTCTCCAAAATTCATTGCTCATCTCACATAAAGGAATGCAACAGGCATAAAAAGAACAAATATAATTTGCAAATAATTCATCCACTCATCAAATCTACAGTGTAGGGCTACATTGTATGCTTAGTGTAGTTCAGTATACCAATTGTTGCTGTTGCTTTCCATAATTTTTTTGCCAATTATTGTGTCCTTTATAGACAATATAGGCCACATAACATTTTTGTTTGTGAGTGGTTCCTTTCTTTAAGGAAAAAAAAACAACACTTAACCCTGTTTTTTGTTTAAAAAAAAAAAAAAAAAAAAAAAAAAACCACTGTTTCATGTACCTGATATTTTGAAGAACAATGTGGTTGCTTTTCCAGTTTTTTAGCTTTGTTTGATGTCAATTTGTGCCTCTGACAAGCATTTCCACCTCCTGGACTCTCTTTTTTGAGTACATAGGGATTCAGTACTTTTTTGGCCTCAACTTGAGCTCCTAGTTTTGTCCATTTAAGCTTGGATCTTGAAGGCTTTGATTTTTTCCCTTTTTTCTCTTTATTACTAGATGCAGATGGTTTTGATTTTGACCATTTGAATGATCCATGAGCTCCATATGTGGATGGTGCTTCAAGAGGAACCATCGTTGATGATTTCACTTTAGTGGAAGGCTTCCCCAATGACGTTCCTGCCTGCAGTAATTGTGATTTCTTCCTGTAAAGTTCTGAGTCAATATGGCTTTTACTTTCATCGGATGACAAACCTGAAGCACTTGCAGCACTGGGTTTTTCCCATTTCAAGGCTGATTTCTGTGCAACAGTTTTAACACTAGACAAAGGAGGGATCTCTTTTTTATTCAAAACATAAGGATTCTTTGCTGTCAAAGTATGATTTGGTTGTAAAGATAACATGCGAGATTTTTGTGCCTGTTCCATCGTTGGAGTTGGTAATTCTGTTCTTCTGTTATTTTGTTTTAGGACTGTTTTACTTTCAGGAATTGATTTATTGTTGTTCATAGTATGTGAACATCCAGATGACCCTGAAGTGACTGGAGCATTTATCTTTGTCTTTTCAGAATCATGACCTGAAATCATACACAACACAACAATTGATAACGTGTAAATCCATTCCATATTCAGAATTTGCCAGAAAATTTGTGCAAACTTTGTGGAATCCCAGATAACTTTGCACTGAATAGTTCCCATTCTTGTGTGTAATCTGACAAAACAATGTGATTTCCACAATAACCTGGCTGCCTATTATTTCAATGATAGTATACCAATGCAATATCAAGCAGACCAGTGGTGGGAACAAAAGCAATTATCAACAAGGAGATTATTAGTTGATCCAATACCAAATTCTCTGAACTAACATCATAAAAATTGTATAGCAGAGAGTAAGGGGAATTATTAACCCTTTAACTCCCAGAAGCGATCAACATAAAACCTCTCCCTACAATATCCATACATTATTCAGCAAACAGGTAATGAGAATATTCAAACTTATCAGATAGAAGCTGCTATCTTGATCTAGTACCAAGTTCTCATAACTAATTTACAAGGAAATGTGTAGCAGCTAGAGGGGAGAATCAACAATCAGATCTTGGGAGTTAAAGGGTTAATGTGATCTTGGGAATGAGAGGGTTATCAAATTGAGCAAAGTCTGCACTTATGAGTGCATTCTTAACTATTTAACCCCCATGATCTCATTGTTCATTCTCCCCTTTTAAATTAGTTGTGAGAAGTTGGTTTTTGGATTTAGATAAGTTTGAGTATTCTGTTTGCTGGATACTGTGTAGATCTTATAGAGAGAAGTTACATGTTAATCACCACTGGAAGTTAAAGAATCAACATCATCAATTCTTTTAATAATGGTAATAGGACTAAGAGAAGTCCAATTCCGTCTGTAATCATGAGCATGATCACAGACAGATGCAAAGTCCTGTAACCAATTAATCAAAATTATTAAAAAATTTAAGAAGGAAATTGGACATCAGTTGCATGTTTTCATTTAAAGAAACCAACAACAGTTACCTTGGTGAAATGTAAGACAACAACAGTGAGTGCACATGACATGTTCTGTCCACTTATGCAGGCATGACGTGTTAACTGTCCCTTTAACTGTCCAATTTCAAGCATAATGCTTACACTGTCCTATTACTGCTTAAATCAGGCTGGTGATAACCAATCACATTCGAGAATTTTGTTATAGTTTTGACTAATAAAACAAACAGAAGTGAACTCATTGCAGACTGTGAGTCAATGCCCATGGAGAAGGGCCACTCAAACAAGACAGGTAGTTCTCATACAATAAATGTACACTGTACCTGAACTTTGACTGTTCAATTTCCTGCGATCCAGACTATATGAAGAGTTAACTCTTCCTGATTGCCCTCTCACATGGTTCAATGATGGCTGTAAAGTCTGCTGCTTGGTTGTTTTTCCTTTCTGTGTTGGTCTTTGCCAAGAAAATGATCTGCTGTTGTCCTGGACTGTACAAGGCTGAACTCCAAAGACACTTCTTTGGGAAGGTATCTTTTTATGAGATTTAATAAGATCTGAGAAAGAACATTCAAAGTAAAAAATTACCAAATTTGAAAGAAACAACTTGACTTTGTCTTAGCTTATTAAATAGCATCGTGACACTCTTACGAGCCCCGTGTAAAATTTGTTAATACTGACGAAAATCTGTTTCAATCCACAAAAAGGTAGATTGTTCGACAATTCGTAAAATATGATGGACGGCTATGGCTACCAACAGTAATCTATCATGTAAAATGAAAGAGAACTTCCTATCTGTTATTTTCTCCTTCACAATCACTGTCCAAATCGTAATTTTCTAATATTGATGCATAGAGGTAATTCACAAATTTCGGAGAGACATCCTTCAGTCGAAAGTATTTAACAGAAAATATGCCACACCGATACATGCTTGTAGGTGCATCGACGCACAATTTACAAGGAAAGCGTAAAATTCAGAAAGCTTGCTACTGTCACGGCACAAAAGATTAGCTTCTGGATAATGCATCCAATAAGTTACAAAGGAAGTGTCTTTTCGCGTAATCAACACACACAAAAAAATAATTTATTCATGGGCAAGATCATTTTCGAAAATAAACCTTTACAATCCTTACTTACTCGTGAGATACGCGATTTGTTCTTTGAGTTTCGATGAGTCGTCCGCCATAGTTGTTTCTGTAAGGCTATTGATGACGTCACGACGGCTTGTCACAGGTATACCAATCTTTTGGTTTTGCACAAGGACATTAACGGAATATTTTTGTTTTCTGCGGTACTTGTTACGACTAGTTGAACATGTTGTTTTTTTCCAGTGTTTGTGTGATTTGAATTTCAAATCTGCAATTTAAGTCCTCTTTGAGATGCTCTAAACTGAAAATATTGCATCGAAATAGATTGAGATAGACGAAAAAAATTGGTTGCGTATTCAGGCTCTTTCTCTGAATTTCTAAAAAACTCTTTAAGACTTTTTGATTGAGGTGCACGTCCCCAAAGGTATTTCCCGAAACACCAAACGAAATCTACCCAATTCTGTGGCGAAAATCGATGAGCTGACAGACGCTAAAATTGCCCGAAATGCGCTTAGAATTCGCTTCAAAATACTTTCTTTAGGTTTAATAACTTGGCTGTCATATGAAAACTGCCTCCCGTAAAGCCCTGAAATCGAGAAGTAATATCATGTGTCAAAAACAAGGGTTCCAGACACCGAGAAACAGAAGGTTAGTGTTTGGAACCCGTGATTAAGCACAAAGTCCGAGTTTTTGACACTTCTTCTAAAATGAAACAATAAGGAATTAAACAGTGACGTGTTTTCTTAAATCAAACAATGATAAGTTATGCAGTTACATAATTTGTCCATCCCTCAAGAAACGTGTTTACATGCTAATAGATCTTAGCTTTCATTCGATGTAAGTTTCCTGCGGTTTTAACTAGTTTCCCCGCACGTAGACTGATCAGTCTTCATGGTATCAACATCTCTTATTTAATTTAGAGGTTAACGTTCCATAATTGAGTTGCACTCATAAAGTTTCACCGTATTTATTCGCGTTTCTAATCTCGCAATATACTATTACAACTTAGCTTTCATTTGATCTACTTGCCTACGAGAGACTAAACATAACGCCTGAGTCAAATTTGGTGGTGGCGAGTTTGTTGCGGTAGCGAATGGACCGTAAATCAATTCGCAAGGAGCCCTAAAATAGTCGCTAAGGGTGCACCAGTAAGCATAACTAATTGTTTATTAGCATATGACAAATGATACCGATATGTAAATTTGGCATAAGTACAATACTACCAGGTGATTTCCTTCAGCTTTCCGAACAAGCAGTGTCATGCTACAAAACTATGATTGCTTGTCAGTGTTCTTCATGTTTCAGATTTGTTTCCACGTCGGTGGCAATAAGAATAATCAAGGTCTCACATTTCTTGCAATCGGAGATTTCGGCGGAATTTCAAGGCCACCTTACACTACACATATGCAAAGGAAGGTAGCAGAAGTTATGGGTCAGGTAATATTGTTTGGATCTGGAACACATTTTAGACGAGACGAGAAGAACTATGATTCTTAAACACAAAGTCATGATGTTAGAATTCTATTTTGGCCAAAAGGGAGGAATCCGACTACTTTCAGGAAGCAAATAGTTTAGGCCGTTTATAACTTTGATAAATCATGCAAATCCGGTAAACAAACTATTCTTGAGGCATTCTATATGTTAGGATCGCCTCAATTTGAAATTATTTATAGGCCAAGGCTTTTCAGTTTTACAGTTTGTATTTTTATGCATTCGATCCCGACTGGCAGTGCCTTCGTGGCAGAATTATGAAACTCACCGAAAACTTCAATTTACGGAAAGCGAGTGCTTGGTTGAATCGACAGACATGGAAACTGATATTGCTTATTCTATGTACTTAGTTTCTAATGAAGAGGAGTTTTAGACTCTCTCGAAAGCTAGATCGATACATATCAAGTGTTTTAAAAATTCGTGTAGAGAACGAACACGGAAGTTTTAGAAGAACTGCCTTCGCTGTCAACAGTTCTGAAGTCGGTGGTTTGCATGAGGTGATTAAAATTGCATTGTAAACAGCCTTCTGCCACGTCACCAGAGTGAATACAATATTATCAATTCACATGGTTTTTGAGAGCAGAATCGAAAATGCCACAGCGAGATACTCGTTTCTTATTAAGCAATTAATTCAATTTTATTAGAAGTGGCTCTGTAATTTTATCTGACGTCGATGTTAGCTTTTGTACTAAGAAATTTGTTATCAAGCGGAGGAATCGGGGCAAAAACTGTTTTCTTTTTTTCGTTTGTCTGTTCTGCGGCCCTGTGTTATATAGTTGCTCCTTTGAAGTTCAAAGTCTGTGTCGAAAATCTCATAAAATGATCGATGTTTTACTACAGTCAAGGTAACATTTTTGAAACAGAAAGATCAAGAACTAACGAGGTTAAGATTCAGAGCCTCGTAATTTTTGAACGCTTTAACGCTGAGACCGCGGAGAGTTGGTTCCTTACCCAATATGGTTGGTGTTATTCGTTCTTTACAAAGCCATAAAGTACATTTGTTGGTAACAAGATTCGCCTACTGGATTATAATTTTCAGTTTTGCTAACTTAGTACATTTTACCTGCATAATTACGTAACTAAGTAAATACTTACATAAACATATTAATGCTTTCTCACCAGTCGCAGTTCGGGAAATGAGCCCGCGCGTTTCTCGAAAAAGCGGAAATCGAGTCTGTGATAGATGTTATGTTCCTTTCCCTCTTTTATTTATTTCTGCTATTCAATTCTTTTTTGCTTAAGTTTTGACATGTTTCGTTTCGTTATATTGTTTCTCTCTGTTTTGTTCTTGTTATTTCTGTTTTTTTATTTGTTTGTCTTTCAATTTTGTGCTGTCTTTAGTTATTTGCTTTGCTTTATTCCATTTATTTCGCTTCTTTTCTCCATTTTTTTATTTCATTATCTACCCTTCATCTTCTCATCAATCTAGTATTGAAATATACGTATTAAAATACATTGTTATTTTCATTATTACTATTATAATATTATTATCACCTTTATCTGTGTAACGATTTTATTTTCTCTTCTAGTATGCCGATTCAGGAAAGGCACAATTTGTTATTGGGTTAGGTGATAACTTTTATGGCAATGGCGTCAAGACCGTGGACGATCCAAGATTTACTACCACCTTTGAGCACGTGTACACGAACCCCACCCTTGTTTCAGCAAATAACATATATATACGTATTAAAATACATTATTATTTTCATTATTACTATTATAATATTATTATCACCTTTATTTGTGTAACGATTTTATTTTCTCTTCTAGTATGCCGATTCAGGAAAGGCACAATTTGTTATTGGGTTAGGTGATAACTTTTATGGCAATGACCGTGGACGATCCCACGTGTACACGAACCCCACCCTTGTTTCAGCCACGTGGTACATGATCGCTGGAAACCATGACCACGACTCGAACGTGTCTGCACAGATAGCTTACACCAAGGTTTCCCGTCGCTGGCATTATCCAGATTTCTTTTACAGTCAAGGTAACATTTTTTGGTAATGCAAAGGAGAGTCGTCAACCTCGAGATGACTTACATGCCATAAATTAAAGGTCGTGTGCCAATCGATCGGCTGTTTGAACCGCATCTAGTTTAAGTAAAAACGGTGGAAGTTCCCAATAGACAATAAACAACCGTTTTCGGTTAAAATGCTGTGACTCCTGTAGCTTTCGAGCAGCCCTCATAACTAGCGCTGCTAGACGCGGGGTTTTAATTTCTCTGTCCCCGAGAAGATTTAAACGAGTCAAGGAAGGGTTTGCCTGGAGTCTGGCTCTAATAATTAGTAACTAATTAATTAAAAAATCAATTATCATTATCAGCGCTTGAGCCCGCGCGTTTCTTCACCTGCGGGAAAGTATGAGGCCTTGAACAACGCCAGTCGGCGAAAGGTCTGCAGGGGGTCTGGCAGTAGTACTGAGTTATTTTCAGTACCAGACCTTCGGCAAGCCTCTCCCCGACCCGTCTCAAATCTTCCTGCGGGAGGAGAAACGCAGTGCTAACTTTATAAGGGCCGGCTCGTCGGCTTTAGTTATCGAAAAGGAAGTCTCCCTTTGATAATAGTTTATATATTTTTAATTTTTTCAGTGTTACAGATTCCTGACACACTTAAGACTGTTCAACTTGTTATGATAGATACAACTCTACTCTGCTGCAGAAAGTAAGCGCATTTTGTTCTTCTTTTTGTCGGTAAATTTCTGCTGGTTTGTAGAAATTCCCATAAAATTAATGACTTTACCCCAACGTAACTCGTAAGATTGAAGCGCTTCTCGATTGAGCGTCATAAAACCAAAACCAAAGGTATTACAACGGCAATCAGAAGAAGGGAAAATACCCTGAAGAGCCAATGAGTACTCAAAGTAAAAACAACCCAACCGCCTAAAGCGCGTGAAAGTGGTGTGATTTGTCTGGATAGATAACAAAGCAATTAAAGCAAAACCAAGGTAAAACCTCTTTGATTTCGACACTCAATCGAAAATTGCACCACTAAATCAAACCTTTTCTGTTTTTTACTCTTTTTGCGCAGTCGATGGATGGATAAAATGAAGTTACCGAGTCAGAAACAACAGCTGAAGTGGCTAAATAACATACTCAGAAGTTCAACGTGAGTATTGATTAAAAGATATTTGAGAACAGCAAAGGAATGCCCCACACCAAACATCATATGTTGTTGTCACGAACATGGAACATTGTACAAACCCCGGCCTCAAAGTCGGTCTTTGATTCGTCAAACCAGCGTTGCATCTTGAAAAAATAATAGAACGAGGAGAAGACGGTTGCCGACGCTCTTATTTTCCCTCTCTATCCCTTATTTTCTTTTGATTGCACCTATCTGGACTTACTAGTGAATTTCTTTGGAACACAAGTTCCCATCTCAATTTTCTGTCAAACTGATTTTCAGAGCGGATTATCTCATAGTAGCTGGTCACCATCCAGTTTTATCAGCTGGCATCCATGGCAACACTAGGTATCTTGTATCTAAGCTCAAACCAATGCTGGAGGAGAATGACGTCACGGTTTATCTCAGCGGACACGATCACAATCTACAAGTAAGTAGGTGCATAACTGAAAAATCTGTCGCTATAGCAACTTTGTTGACCCTACTGTGTTTATCCAAGAGGGGATTAAACCATAGTTAGTGGAATTGAATGTTTGAAAAAGCTTACAAAAATCCAAAGTAAAAACGTCAGTGTTCTCTGACCCTGCACAAACTTCGCGACACATAATTATTTGTATGCATATATTTACTTGAGATCTTTAGAATCGAGAGCAATCTAAACCTAGAACTGAAAACGTATTTATTTTTAAGAAAAAGGCTAATTGCACAATGGATCGACTGTTAATTAATCCCGAAATTGTTCCATTCACATGTGTTAACGGGAACGGATCCAGGATCTTTGTTTAGGAGGGGGTGCACCACTAAAGAATGACCTAACTGAAGACAAATTTAAAAGCCAACAACGAAGAAGAAGGCTTATGACCTTGAATTAGAAAGCCGCAAGTCACCCTGGAAGGGGGGGGGGAAGGAGTGTGCTCGCCATGCACCCCTCCCTTAGATCTGCTTCTGACAAAGTCTTCAGTTGAAATAAAGGATACTTTAAATGAGTCAGAGCTGGCCGGTGAGACTGGTCGAATTCATAAGAAAACAAATGGTTGTTCATCACAATTTTCTAGCCAGATCAATTGATGCCTGCATCATTTTGGTAGTAGTTTTATAATAAATTTAAAAACTTTCAAGAAAAGAGTCCACAATTTTCATTTCGGCACTGAATGAAAAAATTGCTCTTTAATAAATAATGCTGAGCCTAAACTGAGTCCTCTTCATTTGCAGCACCTCAAAGAGCCAGACACGACGGTGCACTACTTCGTCTCAGGAAATGGTAATTTTTACAGTGGGAGGAAAGGATACGACAAAGCCGTGCAGAAATCACTCCTGTAAGTCAATGATGTTTCTTTGTTTCAAATCGCCACTGAATTATTTTTATTCTCGAAACGGCTTTTAAAGAAAACTATTAGCTGACTTTTTTATAGCAAGCTCTAAGATCATGTTGCAGACGCTGGCGGATAAATAAACCCTTCCAAAACCAAAAGTAACCCGGGATCGCTTTGGCTCTGTGATCCGTCCAGAAATTCGCGCCACTTTCTTAACCAATCAGATGCAATGCTGAAACCAATCACGACTTGGTTGCCCGCGTTTTCCCGCGCATTAGACAGTTTGGTTGGTTTTACTTTGAGTTCTCATTGGCTCTTCAGGGTATTTTCCTTTCTTCTGACTGGCCTTAAAAACAATCATGAATTCATTGCTTTTATATCTCTAGGTTTTTCAGTGGCGTTTCTGGAGGATTTACGTTGCTCCACGCCACTCCTGAATCACTTCAAATCTCACAAATTGACAGCAGTGGGAGGAAGCTGAACACCACGAAGTTAAAATCAAGGACCAAAACCGTGAAAGGGGTTAAAAATATCGACTTCTATCCCAAATGTGCTCCGTATTTAGCAATTTTGATGGTTATTGTTGGTACTTTTGGTGCAAGAAGTCTTATAAGTGCAATTATGCCGTTGAAAACTAGAAGCCGAAGGTGCTGGAACAGGACTGACAGCTTGAGAGGAAAATGTTTAAGGCTCTGCGATAAGAAGAGACCATATTTGAAGGAAATAGTTATTTAGTTCTTTTTATAAGTATGGAAAAAATTAGATATGAGCGTCTAATTTCTCCTTACAGTATCGTTACTGAATCGAAAATTAAGGCCATGAGAATAAAAGAAGGTATCGCTGCATAAAGAATCTCTTGGAAAATACCAGCTTGAAAAATTTAGGCTGAAAGTTTTTAATCATCCACCCAAAATGACAGGACATCACTTCGAATTCACCATTTCCCATACTCTTCCCTTTTCAACTCCTTTGGTATTAGTGACAAGGGGAACCCGTTTAGCAATCAGAGCTTCTTAGGTTGATGATCATTTCCTTTTATTCTCATGATCTTAATGAATGATTCAGCAGTATTACTGTAAGGAGAAACTGGAAGTTAGTCACTTTTAACGTTTGAAGGGTTAAGAAAATGAACTGGCTTGTTTTAAAGTGACCATGCTTTGAGGAGCTGTGAATTCGAGAAGAATGGCGAGTTTCTTTAAGTTCCAGGAAAGCTAACTTTAACTTTCACGCTCAGCTATGTGCAGATAAGTGATATGTCTGCATTTTGTGCTCATATTGCTGGTGATTTAGCGCGCATAAGGAATGTTTTTACACACGAAAATGCAGGGAAGCGAAAGACCCGCGGCTTAGGTCCTTCAGCTCAAGAAAGAAGAATACATTCGGTATTGTTGTGATCATGTGAAATTATTTTTTACGCGGACTATCTTTTAATTTTCGAAACAGCTGTGTAACGAAATAAAACTGGCAACCACAGCCTACGGATTCTAGTGGTGCTTGCTTCACACTTAAGATAATTTTGTGATTTGAGCGGGAGAAAGCTCGTCACAGCCCCAAATATCAATAACTAAGACAGTACCTTTACCCTTAGTCACTTTTGCTGAGAAAACTTTAAACGTCAGAAATTAATGGCAAAAAGGTCTCTGCGTTAAAATGCTTGACCTTTCGACTCGTACGAGTGACTAGCCACTTATTTCTAGGAAACATCACCAACTAAAGAAGCTCTTGGTTGTTGAAAAAATTCTCCTCGTCGGTTCCTTAAGAAATGTATAGAGAACAGTATGGAGAATATGCATAATCATGTGAGGGAGTAAAGGGCTGAATAAATTGCACGATAGGATACCTTGGGGAAAGAGTCGCTCATCGTGTTTGTCACCATCAATCGGGAAGTGTCTAAAGGAACGGGCGGCCAGCCGGAAGTAACAACGGAGAGCACACCATTTGTTCAAGGGAAAAGCTTTCACAGCACCGCGACAACGGATCACTTTTCATCCCTCCATAAATAAACTCATAACTTTTATTTTAAAATTCAAAAGGTTGGTGATTACAATTGTAAATTGTTCAAAGCGAGAATTTGTGGTTGGAGGTGTTCGTTCATTTCGCCGCGGCCTCTCCTAAACATCCTTTGGTTCGTTTTTGTCTGACAAGTGAAAAAAGATGCTTATTGTGTTTTTTGCCCTTTTAGTAAAAATAAATTGAAGAGTCCCTTTGTGAGCTAACGTGCTTTCCGGTTTGGTTGGAGATCGGTTCAGTTCGGTTCGAAAGTCAGTTTCCACCAATCTAGATATGCGGAAACTCTCTAAATAAATTATCACTTCGAAAAATAAGCCCTTTCTCTCTTGAAACCGCAGCTTTAGCGAGAACTAAATATGGAGATCATAAGAATTCAATTACGTTACACTAGCCGTCTTTTCGTTTTAAAATAACAATCTTTATACAATCAATATGAGAAAAGACTTCAGTTTTTAAGGATCAGTTCACGCTATTGGGCAAGATTTTACCTTTAAAAAGCAAAATTATAGTGTCAAGCGCATGCATGCTTTAACTATTTCAATTACACCAAGGTGTTGACTTAAGCCACTTAAAACACAGGTGCCATTGCGCGTGCGTAGATCATGAGTTAAAATTTACGTCATGAAAGGTCTTATTATGACAGCTTAATGAGACAAGTAAGATTCGAGAGTTCAATTATAACATGAAAAGCCACAGAGGTGGAATGTAGAACGATCGAAAACGACTCATGGCAGGAGATGAATGGAGGAGGTTAGAATCTTGTTCCTGTTTCTGTTCTCACAGATATGTTTCCATGTCGGCGCTACAGAATATCCAAGACTCACGTTCGCTGCGATTGGAGATTTCGGTGGAATTCCTCTACCGCCATATACCACATACATGCAAAAGAAGATAGCCAAAGTGATGGGCAAGGTGAGTGTTCAAGAGTCGCTTACCGACTTTAAAACGATTTGCTTATCAGAGTTCTGATCCGTTTTATATTTTGTGACCGGTTGCTTGTACTTCTCTATTCAATTTAACTGGTGTTTTGTGTTTCAAGGAGCCTGAGAAACAAAACTATTAGCGTCTCTGCGAAAGCCTATGTAATTGTTCGCGAGGCGCGCCGAGATAATCTAGCCGAAGTGAAAATAACCCAAGTCGAAACTAAGGCGCCTAAAGTTAATTTTTATTAATCGGATGACTTAGTCGGCCAAATCCTCCGGAAACCTTGAAGTGGTCAAGTTCAGGAGGGTGATAAATTATTGACGGGAATACCAACTGATCCTTAGGCAACTGATCTTTCTAGCTGGTTCGTTAGCTGTCGATTTCAAACAACGCTTACATGGTAACCAATGTTTCATAAATTTATTTGGGTGAAACTGCTCCCATAGAGCTGAAACAAACAACAGAACCATTTGAATAGAATTAAAATCTAGTATTTATGGTCTAAAAATGTAAATTTTTACTTTTAGTAATGCTTGACACGGTATTTAAGGTTGTAGGAAATTTTTCATTGCAAATCTTTCTCATTTAGTCGAGACGAAAAAGCGGAGTTGACGGTATCCTGTTTGAATTTAAATAAAATTTCACGTTGGCAATTTTGTTTTATAGATCATGGAAACTATGCAAGCCATAGCACATTCAGTACACGGCAACCAATGGTTCGGAATTTTTTAACAAGGAATATTTCTCGTAGAACCGAAACTAACAATTATGATATCCGTCTCGAATTGAGTAAAAAATGTCACAAATTTGGCTCGTAAAACACTTGAAGATAATTTCTGCCAGTTCTTATCGCCATCGAGATTTTTTCAGTAATTTATGAATTGTATCATATTAGCAGCTTGAATATTTTCTTCATGAGCTCTTGCTAAAAGAAAGCTTATTTCCGCTTGAACGTAAGGTAATAAAATTCTCATTTTCAATAAATGTTGATTACAGTTCGTATGAAGATCCGTGGAGGATTGATTTTTTTCGGTAGATCAGTGAATATTTGGATAGATGTCCTCGGAATAAACTTGCTTTTATAGAAAACTCGCTCTCAGTTTTCCCAAACACTTAAGTGAGCTGTCACCTGAAAACAAGTGTCAAGTTATTATCTTTGTCTTAAACGTTTGCATCTGGAATATTCCTCTGTATCATCTGTCCTGGGCGCCTACTAAGTCTTAAGTAAATAATACGTTATTTGACATGTAAGGACAGTTTAGCGAAGTAACTAGTTACTGAAATGCTCTATAAACGATTCAAAACGCTTTTGCTGAGCACAATGCATTTAATCTAAATCAGCTTTAATGAATTCCGCATTTACAAGTGCCTTGATTCAGCTGTTGTTTAGTTTGCAAAAAGTGCTTTTTCAGCTGTGCTGTTCGAATTCAAAACTTCACTTAGGACTTTCAGTGCTAAATCAGTGAGAATGAGACTTTTCTTTGACATGGGTGTCAGAGGATAATTTAATGACCATTTGGTCGCGAGATAAGACTCGCGCCAAACTGGAGCCGTTGCGATAAAGCACTCATTTTAAAGGACACGTGATTGAAACTCAACACCAAAGGAACTGATAATTTTCGGCAAGGTGAAACCTTAAATCCATTTCTTCCTTTTGAACACAAGATGCCTCTCCTGGATTAAAAGAGAAATTTTTCAATCTCACTCAAATTTGAGCCAAAGAAATCAGAGTGTTTTAAACAGTTCACTCCTAATAACTCAAACCCAAGTTATCTCTATCTTCGCAATAACAGCCAAAATCAATTTCCTAAGGGTTTCTTTCACAGACTTAGCGTGTTTTTACCTTCGGTAACTTGAACGTTATTGAACTATAACCTAACGCGGACTCAAAATAATTGTTGTTTCTCCTGGGATCATTTTCTGTACAATTTTACCCTCGATAACCCGAACTAGAGTTAGACAATTTGTAACAAGTTCTTACACGGAGCATCCAAGTCCAAAATCAAGAAAATTGAATTGATTTAGTAGCAATCGTAGATTCTTTTTTTTTTCTTATTATACATCACTCAAAACGGCTATTTTTTACCGGGTTTTACCGATTTGAGACTCTATTTTTCAAACTAAGACCCTCAAGAACTAAATTTTGATTAAACGTTCGCTGTATGACTAGAGATAAAGGAAACACCATTTTTGCTAATTTCCTCTTATTTGTTCTCAACTCAAAATAGCTCGTATTCTGATTGATTCAAACCTTTTTTAGTTTCCTCTGAAGGTTCGAGTTATCGGCAGCCACTGAACAGTATTCGAGTGGGTGGCAAATTTATGCGACGCAAAGCTAAATAAAGTAACTTATGTTAAAAAAACAATCTTTTTTGGTGGTTCCTGTTGAATGATAGATTTCATCTTCCGATATGATTACACCGGTTATCGGTTTATGTATGCCATTGTATCGAACTTAAGTAGTGAAAATCCTCAAAGATAATCAGCACACAATTAAAAGTAACACACTTTAGTGACTTATCGAGGGGATAGACTGAATAAATCGGAAAAGATGTTTTAACTCAAGTTGAAGAATTCTCAAAATCCACGCTTAAACTAGAATCTAATCAGCTTCATATGGTGAGCGCCCAATAATCCGATTTGCAAGAGAAAAAAAAAAGGAAAAAAGGAAGGGAGATTCACGCATAGAGGGCAAACCTCACGTAACATTGCGAGACATGAAAATGGGATTAATAGCCCCCCCCCTCTAGAAGAAGAAACCAACATCGTGCGAGTGACGTCACGCATGGCTAAAGCTAGACAAATTTTTCATCACAGCTTAGTAGTAGATTTAAAAGATTGATTAATCTGATTTGCGGAAAGGTGACGCTATCTATGATTTATGAATGAAATATTCTTAAGATTCTCACCCAGCCGATAAGGGTTATCGAGTATGAAACATATTGCAATCTGAACTATGCAAGTGACCTCGCACTGAATGCATTCAGGCGTATGTAATTCTGTTTGAATTGAAACTGAACCAGCAAATAATTCCGACACTGTGAGGCTTAAACTGCGCAACGCAGGGTTAGAAGTGATATTCCCTAAATGTTACTTAACCCTTTCACTCCCACAAGTGACCAAGACAGAATTTCTCCTTACAATATCAATACAATATCAAGCAGGCAGGTGATGAGAATAGAGAAGAATATCAATCATGGGATTATTAGTTGATCCAATACCAAATTCTCTGAACTAACATCATAAGAATTGTATGGCAGATAGTAAGGAGAATTACTAATCAGATCTTGGTAGTGAAAGGGTTAATGTTGTTGAATGTTTGTCCCACCCCCCCCCCTTCCTTCGATACGATGAAAGTGAAATTAACCTTCGGACAACGTTTTAGAATTGTCAGAGAAGAAAGAAACCTTAAAAAAAGTCATCGTAATAATAAAAAAACTGCTTGTAAGTGCTTTTTCCCTGCGCTTTTAAGACAAATGAAAGGTAAGAAACGTAATAGCCTTCAGTCGACACGAAAAAAAGCTTAAGCTTTATTCACAGACATTGCACTGTTCCTCGAGCTTCGCTATCAGAAACTTTGCGGAACGTGTAATCTCTGCGGACAAAAATGCGAGCACATTTTAGCACTTAATGGGTGTCTTGTTATTTGTGAAAGAATCTCTTTATTTTCTAACTGCTGGGTTAATATAACGATAAATGGAGAAGTAAACGAGTCTGAAAGTCTGTAATAAAACGACTTGTTCAAGCTTCCTATGACCTCTTCTGAGTTCCTTTTCAAAACCGCTGGAAATTTTATAAAATGCATAAAAAGAACTTGGCGTCTTTGACTCGCTTAAGGCTTCATTCTCTACGCAGCCTCTCATAAAGCCGTTCTGGGAATAGTTCATTTCATACGCAATTTAAAACTTCAGCTTAAGTGTTCGAATTAGTTATTTTTACTTTGCATTTGAAATTTTGCAGTTTTATCACAGGTAACCCATGCTCGCGCAAAGAGCCTTCGTAAATATGCAAATATGTTTACGTTGCGCAATGGGCGAAATATGAGGATAAAAAGCTGAACTAGTTTTGAATGAAGACAAACGTACCTCACTTAAGTGGTTGACCCTTGCATCATGTGAGTTATCTGAGCTAATTTAGGGCCGTCTAGCTCAGTTTAAGTTCATCTGCTTTGTCTTCTATATAACCCTTCATAGAGAGCAAAGAAGATAAACCAAAAACAAGTTAAACGGCCCTAAATCAGCCCGTAAAAGAGTAATAATCGAAACTAGGATAGAAGGCTTTTAAACCAAACTTTCCGCAAACGCCAACAACAAAATTAACTTTTTAATTTGAAGCTTTCTTTTCCTCTCCGTAGCCGTTGAACAAATTCAACAGATAATATCTTCTGATCACGAAAAATATAAGAATTTTCACCATACTTCACATTCGTTTTAAAAACAGACAGCAGGAATTTGATTCTTTCTGTGTGCAGTTCCCATTAGCGTGAACCCAAGTTGCTCAATACTGACTCGCCATTTTAAAATTGCCAGACAGCTCAACAAAGATTGTTGAATGATGTTTGTTTTTCCTCATTATTTCTAGTACGCAGACTTAAAAGAAGTAAAATTTGTGCTTGGCTTAGGCGACAATTTCTATTATGAAGGTGTGAAGTCAGTGGAAGATCCCCGATTTTTTTCAACCTTTGAGCACGTGTATACGAACCCCGCTCTTAAATCAGCCACGTGGTATATGATCGCTGGAAACCATGACCACGCCTCTAATGTGTCTGCACAGATAGCCTATACTAAGGTGTCCCACCGCTGGCACTTTCCGGATTTCTTTTACTCTAGAGGTAAGGTTCTCACTTTCAGGCTGTTTCTGATCAAGCGCTTTGTAATTCTTAACCTGTTGTAAAACTGAAATGCAATCTTTTGTCCCAGGTTGGCATTTTGGACACAACAACTCCAGAAACACACATTCCTCTGTAGATTTGCCACGTTTTTTTTATCATTACTTTTTTTCTTGTCTGGGTATTTGAACTATTTCTATCGAAGGGGCTCTTCACGCAACATTCTGATTGAAAGAGAGCGGTGAAGAAATTTTATAATTTGTCCAAAATGTTAATTTCTCACTCTTAAGTTAAGGTGAAGAATATTGATACTTGCCTGTGAACTATTCTAAAAGCAGGCTTATTGACAGAAATATTGTAGAGCTAGGCCGAAGAATTCCCACAGAAGAAAACCACCTCACTTATGCAGAAAAAAAAACAGAAAGGAAGAAATGACTCCTAGAAGGACCCAAAACATTATTATGCCACTTGGCGGGGAAGATAAGAGTTTCTTTATCAATGTAGTGAATGTCTAAGCACGGCCGAACGGCACTGAGTCTGCGAGCAGACCTTCATAATAATAAGCGCTACACGACGCGTGTTTCTCCTGCCGTGTGAGGATTTGAGACGAGTCGGGTAGAGGTTTGCAGGGGGTCTGGCACTAATATAAGTGACAGAACATCTTACATGCCTGCCGCTGGCTTGCGTTGCTCAAGGCTTCATACTTGAGGGACCACCTTTAGCCATAAAAATTGACAAATTTTAACCGTTTGTCGAATAAAAAGTTCAAGAAATGAATCGCTAGCAGTAAAATGGCCAAAATCTTAACCAGTAACCATAAAATCCTACCCAAAAACTTTTCCGCAGGTAAAGAGATGCTCGCAACGATGCGCTAGCACGCCAATCAAACGGTGTATTTTGGAAATTTTTTGTCATGATACAATCTAAGTTCTCCCTTTTCTTTACTTTCCATGCGGTGATTGTTTTTGTTTGCTAAATACAAAAATGAGCTCATTGCCCTGTGCTTCAAAGATTGTACGAAACACAACTGAATTCAAAGATTTGCTTCAAAATACGTTTTTTTTTATTTAATCTGCACTGTCTCCTATTTCTTCCTCTCTTTCCTGTTCTTCTTTTTCTAAAGTTTTACTCTGTAACATCATCAAACCGTTAGATGTGTTACATAGCATATGATATTTGTGTTCTTATCAGTAATGCAGATCCCTGGATCAACAAAAACTGTTCAAATTGTAATGTTGGATACAACTCTCCTCTGCTGTAAAAAGTAAGTCTTTTCACATTCCACCTGTAGTGTGTTTGTCCTTTCAAACTTCAATTTTCTATACATAATATACCCACCGGTCCTGTTGACCGAGCATTAGGGAAAAAGATATAGAGGCATAGAAGCCTGTTCCTTTTTTTTTTTTCTTTTTGGGGCCTTTTAGGCTTGGTCTAAAAAAAGAAACTTACACCATAGAATTGCAAAATAATCGCGATTTTCTTGCTCAGAAGGTGATTTGCGATCCCATCGTCGGAAATATAGGACACGATTGTTCTTGTTACCGAAGAGATACGAAATTCTTAAAATCGGTTTGAATCTTTTTTGGGATAACGGCGGGTAACTAAGAACAATCCAGGTTTCTCTTCGTCCGAACTTGTCGCGTTACAAACTGTTAACAAAATTTAACGTAACGACAAACATGGGTTCAACAGGATTATCAAGCAAGTGTAAAAATAAAGCTACAAGATATTAAATAACCTTTTACAAGATTGAATTTTAGGTGAATTCCGTAATTTTGTAGATACACAATTTCTCTCAAAACAGTAGTAAAAATTACGAACGAATCTCCATGCAATTTACAGCCATCAGATACCTTGTTGGCTGCTTTCTTTTAACTTTATTTCTCTCTTATTTAGTCAAAAAAAGTTGAAGAATCTGCCGAGTCAAAAAGATCAGTTAGAATGGATCGAGCGAACGCTTAGAGACTCAAGGTGAGTGAAACCATTGTTATGTTTAAGATATTTATGTGAAAGGTGAGATGAAATCCTCTTACCATGCCATTTAATCATACTTCAGAGCGGATTATCTGATAGTAGCTGGCCATCATCCAGTCTTATCAGCTGGTATCCATGGCAGCACTCTGTATTTGGTATCTAAACTTAAACCACTGCTAGAGGAGAACGACGTCACAGTTTATCTCAGCGGTCATGATCACAATCTACAAGTAAGTGAGAGCTAATTCTAATCTTGCGCAGAAGCGATTCGCCCTCAGATTATTCTTATTGTACAGTCTCTATCAACAAAATTGTTCTTGGCGTAAATTTCTCGAATGTTCTTTCAACCTTTATGTCTGCTACGATTACAGAAGGGACACTTCCGTTAAATTTTCCTAGTCCCGAGGGTCTGTACTGTATGGCGATTTACTGTACTTACGAGAACGCGAAGAATAACATTCGAAATTTTTTTGGTTTATTCTCAGCATCTCAAGGAAGAGCACTCTAACGTGCACTACTTTGTGACAGGAAATGGAAATTTCTTCAATGCATTGGAAGAACACAAGTGGAAAGTAAAATCGTCACTGAAGTAAGTACTACGAATCGAATCAGTTGATCTGAGACAATCTAAGACTTCATTTTCTTCCTGGTTAGATCTGTTTGTTCCATTTGCTCGTACGAATTACAATCTGTACAGCTGCAAGTGTGTCTATCTCACTGCATAGTGTCAGTCTGTCTGTTTGTCTGTAAGGATCTTCATTTTGTTTGTCTGTTATCTGACTTAGGTCTGATGGTCGGTTTTCTCATCTATCTGCTCTTCTCACTTTTTCTACTTTTGTCTGTCTGTTGGTCTTTCAATGTGTTTGTCTTACTGTTGATTTTGTCTGCCTGCCCTTACCCTTGTTTGTCCCCGAGTTTTTCTCGACAGTCGTCTACCTGCATAGATAGAGATTTGTCTGACGAATAGCTAATTGCTGCAATTCTCGTCCTTTTTCCCTGTCTGACTGTTTGCGTGTCTGTCTGTTTGTTACGGTCATCCATTTTGAAATTCCTTTACTGCCAGAGTGAACAAACAAACAAAGAACATGATCAATGGGATAAGAAGCCATGCACTGAAGTGTGGTCGAGTAAGGACCACAAAGGAAAATCACAAGAAATGGAAGTGTAAAAGATGGTTAAATTTGTTTGACTTAAGTATAGGAAAAAGGAAAAAAAATTTGTTTTCCACCAAAGAACGAGACATTTCGAATCAGCAGTTGGATCTTTTTCCAGTGGGTAACAGGAAACTCATCAGAGATCGAGGACTTATACTAAAGTCATGGGTAACAAGCGTCTTTCATGTTGCTGAGATGTTATACATGTATCATTTATGACTAATGTACTTCCGGTTTGAATTGCATTTCAAAGTTCCATTGTTTCTTGAGCCTTGTAATTAGTAGTGCCTCTCGATCGAGTTTCCTGTCTAGTCTGAAGGTCTCTAAGCTCTTAATTGACAATGATGAGGTCAAAAATAGTTGAATTTGCAATGAGTAATTTAATTAAAAGTGGGTTTAGTTCAGTCAGGTCGCTGAGAAGTTTAGCCTTCTTTGGAATTAACTACTTCAAAACGATCTCAGATATAAACGCGATTTACAGATGAGAAAACCAGCTTAATTTTGAACAAAAATTCTTAACCATGGACTTTCACCCCTAGCCTGGTAATAAACATTGTTTGAATGACGTGGCAATGCAGGTTTTAGAGTTTTAGTTCTGCGATCTCTTTCCATGGGCCTAAACGCGATTTACGGGTGAGAAAACCAGCTTAATTTTCAGCAAAAAATTCCTAACCATAGCCTTTCACCCCTAGCCTGGTAATAAACAACATTTTTAAATGGCGTGACAATGCAAGTCTTAGAGTTTTAGTTTCTGCGATCTCTCTCCACGAGCCCTTGTTGCCTTGACCAGCTATCGGCGTTTTTCTTCAAGACCAGGGTCTAGAAACGAGGCTGAAGTTATTTCTTGTGCGCCAAGGTGGAATTGACCGCTGCCTGCCTACGTTAAGATAGAGATTAGTTTATGTGTTTTTTATGTATTTTGTTGTTAATCTAAGTGTGACATTTTTCAGGTATTTTAATGGACAAACTGGAGCATTTACTTTACTCGAAGCTACTCCTGATTTTCTTATGATCTCGCAAATAGACGATAGAGGACGACAGGTGTATCAAGCGAAGTTATTACCGAGGACTTCTTCTCAACCACAGAGCGATGCTGAAAATACGATTCTCGACGAGTTTTTCACTTCACAAACTTGAATCAGATAGAGTTGTCTGGTTGTAAAATCCCACTCGATTAGCTGAAAGTAGTCTCAAATTTGTATGTAAATACGTTTTCATCATGATAGAGGGCATTTCAACTGAGCGTTTTAAAACCAAAGCAGTCACAGCAACCACTGAGATATGACAGTGATATTACAAGGAACCAATCAGAACTCAAATAAGATACTTTTAAACGTCCTGAAGCGCGGGAAAATGACAGTAACCAAGTTCCATTGATGTAACATTTGCATCTGATTGGTTGAGGAGGTGATACAGCTTGATTAGAAAAATCACAGAGGAAAACAAAGCCAATTTAATCTCAGTTTTCCTTAGAAACTTCATTGGGAGCTGCTCATGAGACATAAGATAACAATAAATTACCAAAGCCTTGAGGCGCTTATTTCAGGGAAAAAAATTGTATTTTAGATAAGAGGAGGGGATTGGGTATCGGGGTCAGTGTTAGCAGTAGTCTGGCTATCTCGTACTCAGATCCTAACATGTAACTGCAACCACTTTGCCATGAAAGTTCTGGGTACGAGACCAGTTGTTTAGGGCTGTTAGAGTATTTTTAAATTTAATATTAATAGGTCTTATTAAAATTACGTTTATGGATGGTTCTTCGATTTTGCCTTACTTGTAATTTTGTCATCCTTCTCCTGTTTGCGCCGAAAGATAGAGGCGGTGCGGAGCTCGCTAAAGGCAAATTTACTATATTTGCATCCCTTGCTCTTAGGAGACATATTAAGTTGGCATACATGATGGCATGTCACGCGGGCGCAGGCCCAGGTTTCTTACTAAGAACTTACGGCACCAAGAGATAATCATAGACTCCTGACGGCGCATAATGAATGTCATTGACCAACAAAGTTTGCTTATGTAACTTGACTTGTGTTATTTAGCTTTTATTTCAATTTTTAAAGTTACCTCGGAACCTATTTTTTAAACGGATGAGGAAACATTCGCACAACAGTTCGCGGTCTAAAATTGATGAATTTTCTTGGTTACTTTACCAGCAAGCCTCGGCGATATAAACTAGACCCAGTTTTCTTTCTAACGCCGTATTATTTAGAACGCTGACCACTAGAAACTGGCCCGCACTTTAAGACACATGTTCAATTTTCCCCCACGTTAAACACGAAACGCTCATTGTTTGAACAAATGAGAAAAAGTTGCAAAGGAAATTGCGAGCTTTATTCCAAGGTCATGCTTGTCATTCTCTGTGAATACAGACTAAAACCCTGTGAGGCTGCACGTAAGAAGCAGCTAAGCAAACACCCAACGTGTACCTCAAAAATTCTCGTGGAGTTACATTCCGCAGATTACGATCTTTGGTGTTTTTTTTAAGCGTTTTTCTTTTAGTTTTTCTCTTTGTTCAGTGTGTTATTTTGTGGTTCGAAAATTTTTTCAGGGAACTACTTTTACGCAATTTTCTGTTCGAGCAGCAGAATGTGAACAGTCAAAGAAAGGTAGTGACAACTTTCATGACTTGTTAAGTTTCAGCACATGTTTTTTTATAATACTTCGAAGCCAATACACAATATATCTTATTGCTCTAAGAAGCGAACAGCAACAACATAAATAAAGCGAAAACATGCCCTAACCCTCCCTAGTCTTCTTGGATTTTTATTGGACTGAAAATGGTAAATTTTTCTAAACTTATCTGTTTTTTTCCGCGGAAGATTAATTTTGCAGATCAAGGAAAATCTTTAAAATCGAAAAATTATCAAGCTACTACTGAATTAACGAAACCAGTTTGAAAACTGAGTTGAATCCAGGGAACTAGTAAACCAACAATAAAAGTTTGAGAAAGCCGGCCTAATGGTTGCAGAGAAAGTTTCCCAATGTATTTAGATAAGTCCATTGTCTCATAGCGCTAAAACCGTGCAACAATGAGCTTAGCTCTACCAGCACGTTTATCGAGAAAATCTTTGTACGTAGTCTGACGAAGATCCCTTTAAAAATAGCACGTTCACTGCAAGTTTATTTCCTCGTTTTTGTGCGAATTGTTTTCATGTCGGTTGAATAGTCGCAATTAAATTTTCTTTTCTATTTTAGGAAAACAACACTTTCCTGCGTTTTGGACGCAAACATATAAACAGTATCAGGACAGATTATCAAAACTGACCCGCAGGCAACTGTCTAAATGCTTACGTTAACATGATTTGACGCTATGGATGACAACCATGAATAAGATGAGAAAATTAGGGGTCTTGATTTTGGCAAACTTAATTGCCTTGAAATGTTTGTGCTAACATCATTATCGACAGGTGCACATGGTGACAATAACGACACTTATTTTTCAAGAACTTCTCCAAACTAAGATAAGGTTTTATCTAAACTGCTCAACCGGTACTTATCACATAACGGGTCAAAAAGGGAGATGTGCCTACGGAGATATTAAAAGCGACGAACTCAATCCATTTTAAACGTCGCGTATCTTACGTCGAATAAAACTGTCAAAAATAAATTGTTCACCATTACTGAATTAATCTTTGGCACGGCGTGCTGTTTGCCAGGGTTGTAAAAAGAAAATAAAACTGAAGTAGCGAATATCGTCGGAAACATCTGCACCAGAGTCATTCTAAGATCTGCTTAAGACTTCATGTCTATGTGTATTACGATTAAGGCGGGGAGGAACATTCTTAACCCGTGGGAAATTTTTCGTGAAACTCGCTTTGTTTCGTTAAACGCAAAACGTGTTTCCCAAGAACCGTATGTACTCTAAATAATGCACGAACCAGTTCACCGATTGTCAACACACTTTAATTCAACCTTTACTCCAACGCTGTTAAAATTTGCTGGGTAGAACATTGATCTTTAGATTTTTATCAAAGCTCGAATTTTATTCGAATTTTTAATGAGCTAAAAAAACTTTCAAAATGACTGATATCATAGGAAAAGGAATAGATCTGAACAACTGCATGTTCTTATCAAATTTTTCTCTATCCTATTTGTGAACAATGTCACATTTATATGCATGATATTGATGATTTATACACTGGCGCCTTAATTCAAGATAAAGTTTACTATCCCACACTGAATTTTTATCCTAACTTTATCAAATAAATTATTTTTTTGATAAATCTTTGAATAACCGTTGGCACCTGCATTTGATGCGTCACACATTACCTAGTTTATGGTTGAAGTAAATAGAAATTACTTTCTTAAGTGTGCTGAAAACTTAACGCTAGAAGAATCGCCGGAACAGGGGAATTTCCTTCCAAATTTTGAGTCAATACATATTTATATAAATTCTGCCAGCGTTTATTGTTAGGATCTCGTCCACTTAAAAATTATTTGAGTATGGCAGCTTTTTGTTCAATTAGGAGGAAATGAACTTAAGCTGCTCAAAAGGTCTTTTACTCTTTATGTTGCTCCAAAACATCAGGATGTAATTTGAGCGAACGAGAGTCACTCGAACACTTTAATGAATTACATCGTTGGAAGACGCTTTTGAAACATGTCTGCTTCTACCTTCACTTCTCTCGATTCCAGTCCTACTTTTGCGACAACCCTTCCGAGCGCCATGTCGGCAGCGGTACAAACAACCATTTTGAGCGCAACATTAGTGGTAAACTTTCTTGGCAACATCTGTGTCTGCCTGGCTGTTTATCATGTGCGATCTCTCCGTCAAAAACCGAATAGTTCTGTCCTTGTTAGTTTAGCAGTGTCCGACTTCTCTCTGTTATCATTCCTTGTGTTTCGTTTGATATGGCTGTACGAACATGAAGCCGCGTGTAAAGTGAGTGAGTACTTTTTGGGGCTGTTATCCATACTGTTGTATGTCAGTATTACTCACATCTGTCTCCTCAGCTGCGATCGCTACGCGGCGATATTGTATCCCTTGAGGTACTCAGCCATCGTCACCAAAAAGCGCGTCAGCCGTGCGTTGTTTGCAGCTTGGTTTGCCCCGGTGTTATCTATTACAGTCACAAATTGGACTCATGACAATTCCAATCGTTCTGATTTCTGGAGAAGCATTATTGGCTGTTCGCAGAATTTTGATAAGCCTTCCTTGGAGCATACTTGTCATATTGCGTTCAATATTACCTTCTTCGTTGGTATCCCTTTTGCAGTGATTTTATTCGTGTACGGTCGTCTGGCTAAGATCTCGTGGTCTCAGAACAACAGAGTCGAACCCGGTGAAAACCTGAATCTCGAAGCAGCTGAAATGAAGAGGAAAAAGAAAAAAGAAATGAAGTGGATGCGAACCATAGGTAAGATGTTTGAAGCGCTTTATAATCTGCGTAAGTTGTGGCTTGTTGATCTGAGGGACGGCGTCAAAATAACACATTCAAGCAAAATTGTTTTCAGCATTAGATTCAAGTATAACAGTTATTAGTACCACACATATAGACCTCGCGCCAAAAGTACACACTGTTTCAGGTTTCCGGTCAAGAAAACACCTCATTTAAGACGCTTAATAGTGAACTTACATTTCTCGTTTAAGGCTAAAGACCTCGGAAACCATGCTCTGCGCTAGGTCCGCTATGGGAGTGAAACGTGCAAGAGGGATGGCTTGAAAAAAAATAACGCTTGTTCATTTTTTCGGTTAAAGTGGCGCGAAAATGCCCCGTGTCGAGGAGGAAGCGCTAATGCTAAAGCGACCATCGGTGAAGATACACCACTAAACAAACGCCTTTCGCCTCGCACGTGTCTCTTTTCACGTGCGCCCGCCTTGCCGTCGCCTCATGAGCCCAAGTTTTGCGTGATGCCTGTTTCATGTCTGGGAGGTTGAAGAATCTAACAACATATTAAGTCCGGGCTCAGCTTTGTCACTCACAGAGAGGGGCCGTTTTTCTGCTCACCCAATAGTGTCCCTCGACTTCGAGGGATATGAAAAATACAATAACGCCGTTTGATTTGTTTCATTTTTTTTCAGCGATGGTAGTTGGTGCGTTTACATTCTGCTATCTCCCGGGAGTCATTTGTTTGTTAATCACAGCAACAATTGGTCCCAGTCGAGTTCCCAACGAAGTTATGTCGGCCGTTGTTGTGATGGTTGTCATCAACAGCGCTCTGAACCCGATTATCTACATGATCAGATCCAACGAATTTCAACGTGGTTTCAAGAGAATTTTCCAATTTCCCTCGCTCACACGCAATACTACTCTCAACACAATCTCCATTCCCATTGGTGGGAACCGATGAGATTTGTCAACGCTTGTGGTACACGATGACCCGCCATCTTTCCTAGGTTTTCCACGAAATCACGCAACTTTTACCAAGACTCGAAGACCAGTATTATCGTAGTTAACTGTGTCTTTCTCTTTTGGGAGACGCAGTATGGCTAACGGTCAATCGTGCTGAACTCTAGGTCTTGAGGCTGGGGTTCGTGCCCAGGCCGGGTCGTTTTGCTTCGTTCTTGATAAGAAACTTTACTCCTTCAGTGCATCTCTCCCACCTCTCTTTGCCCAGGCTCACCCGGGCGGGGGGGGAGTAAATACAAGCGGAGGATTTTCCTGCAATCGTATAAAATACTATTGAGTAGGATTAGATATACTCATTGTAGCTAAATGTGGGAGACCCCCGCTCGCCTTAAGGTCAGCCTATTGCGCTGGATTCTGGGTCGAGAATCTGGGTTCGAGACCTGGCCGGGTCAATGTGTTGTGTTCTGGGGCGAAACACCTGACTCTCACAGCGTCTCTCTCCGCCCAGGAGTATGAATGGGTACCGGCAAAGTGTCAGGGGAGCCTGATGAAACCTCGTGGCATCCAAACCAGGGGGGAGTAGCAACAGTAATACTTCTAGTCGTTTAATGCTATGGAAACTTGGACGAGCTCCGGCTGGAAAGATCACTTGGCTCGTGTATAGACTTTTATTGTAACTAACTGCTACACAAACCTTCATTGAGACTCAGGATTAGTCTATCATTGTACCTTCATGGGATCTCCGAAAACGAGAGCGCACCATGATCCCTTAAACATTTTTTGATCAAGTGGATTGAGGAATATTGATAAAGAAGTCCGCCAACTGAAGTAGTTCAGTATAAGTTTGAACTGTAATGTTCACTTTTCCTGAGAAGAGATTGAAAAATAAATATTGACTGAACTTGCCAAGAGAGAGCCTTGTGAAACATGCACAGTGGTTGTTAGCCACCTCATTACGACTGGTTTTGTTCTATCATATTCAACAGCTGCGGTATGGACGGTAACTTGTCTGATTAAAAGGAACTGCAAAGTTAATTTAAGTAATAAAGAGGGTTAGTTTCTAACGAAATTGTGGTGCTCCGTCGGTAGGGGGTGATACAAGATAATTTGGTTTTATCCACCGAGTTGCTAATGTAAATTGGCCACCGTACAGGGTTTATAAAGCTGACGTTTCGAGCGTTAGTTCTTCGTCAGAGAGAAATAAAAATTTAAAGTAAGATTTCTGCATAATTGAGTTGGTTAATTTGGAAGCGTAACCAATAGGTTCCATATAAACAAGAGACAAACTGATCAGATACCAGGCTGGTCTAATGGTCGTAAAACATCTTTTCACTATGCTTTGGAAAGACAATAATGTTGAGAATGGTGACTGAGTCTCATTGGAGGTGGCCAAAAGGAAGATCTCAGGGAATTGATATCAAATCGCACGTCGAAGACCCCATCCTTTTCACATCCAGTCTCCTAAATGTTTGTGAGGTGATTGCTAAAGTTATAAATATTTCGAGATAAATTAGTAAAAGACCCTTGGAATATCACCCCTCTCCCCGTTAATCGCTCCTCTCCCATCCCCCACTCATAAGTATTTCATTCTTCTCGAATACGATGAACTAAGGCGTGACCTGGCAACAGTCCACAGATCACGGAAACTTTCTGGTTGAAGACTCGTGCATGTAAAACTGTGTAGGGAGAGGGTTCTGACCTGTTGGCTGTGATTCAACATGGCGGAACGGGTTCGAAACCAAAGAAAAGCGAATTATCAAGACTATGAATTCCGTTTCCTGTAACTGATCACCCTGCGGGTTTATACATCAGAAGCAGTCACGAACTTATCCACACCGCTAAACGTAGGAATAAGTGGTGAGTGAAATAAAAAATATGGTAAAACAAATGACGCTATTTATCGTGGGAAAATGTTGTAATGCGCTCTTTTTCATGAAAGAACATCTAATCTTGTAGACGAAGCCGAACGTTTGCTTTTGATATGATCCTAAGGTTAAACACAGTTATAAAAATTCAAAACATGCATAAATAAATCAGTTAAGTAAAAATGACTTTTTTAACCTTCTCTAAGAGGTTGTTAAGATATTGTTGAAAACCTTAGCCTTGACGTTGGTGTAAAAATAGTTCTTATATAAAAAATGGTTAAATTAGTATTATTGTTAAGAAGCATTTAGTTATTTTATCAGTTAGTCAGTTCAGTATGATTTTTCATTATGATTATGATTTTTCGTTTATATTTAGGAAGTATTTGATGCATGAATTCGAATTCCAAAGTTGTTTAGGTTTGAGCTGTCGTGATGAGTTTCCGAATTGTGACCGCCTTTTCTAACTTCCTCAAGTGGACGTGCTTAGTTTGTTTACTGACCTCGCTTTAGACCTACTCGAAAGTTCTTGTTTTGACTAATTATAACTCAGTCAGAAGTTGGCTCAGGCGATCGGAAGCATTATGACCCTTGAAGTACTTTGTTGTTCAGATCAAAAGTCTCGTAAAGTTGTTCGGTCTAGTGTTCTGACAAAAAATGTTTGATTTCCCTAGGTCAGGCACCTGATATGCCCACCCATTCATATTTTTCTTTATTCTTGCCACTTGTCTACTTGATACTGATTATATTGATATTGCAAGGAGAAATTCTGACTTGGTCACTCGTTGGAGTTGTGGGGATTAATAGGATTTGGAGGGCACAACTTGATTGTGCGAATTTCCTATTATAAATTTCTAAATTTAGACTGACAGAAACCTTTTCCACTGTTAATCAAATCTAATTTGATAATCTAATTTACTCCAGAACTGTATCAAGGGATTTCTCAGGTTTAATTCTAATTAAATTCATGTAATTATACCTTAAAAGCAAGTCCAGCGGGGACAAATCAATCAGTATTTTCAAACATCAGAGAGTTACACTTTGCTTCTTTCCTAAAACAAGGCGTCTTGTAACTTAAACGCAACCCACTCCACTTTAGGTCGGGTAAGTGTTGCAGTTATTGCAGAAAACAAACTTACTAGACTACGAGCAGGCCCTCATCATTAGCGCCTCGGCAGGAGAGAGTTTGCTCGAAAATAGGATTCCTTGTTGCAAGGGGGTTTCAATGGGGTGATGGCTTCTACGACCAACGGTTAAAACTTTCCTCCGTAAACACCAGAAGCATTTTTGCAATTCACTTTGGTTAGGACTAAAGGTTAAAATTTCTCAATTATTATGCCTAACGGCTAATATTTCTGGCTGTTTTTAGGGCTAACGGTTAACCCCATTGAAACCCTCTGGACAGCGCGAGCCGGCGAGAGGTGTGCACTGATGATGCCAGAACCCAAGCGAACCTCTCCTCGACTACGGCGACTCGTCTCGAAGGGAAAAAAGCGTTCTAAGGCGTATGAATATGGTGTCAAAAATGAGTGATTTCTTCGCCGTTGCCGTTATGTCACGCACCTTAAGCGTTGCGTAACATCTCAAGGAACGGATACGCGATGATGTGTTCACTCTATTTTCCTACAGATCAATCAAGATTTAACAGATTTGCTTTCCACAATGAATGCCTCGCCAATTTTGACGTTATTGGTACTCATTTTACCGCTGATCACATCGTGTCTAGCAGTGACTGATAATAACAATGATGGTAAAGATAGCGACGGAGCTTGTGGTCACAGTCATTGGATGCATTACTCTTGCGCGCCTGGTATCCCAGGTATTCCTGGGAGCCCTGGGCCCGCGGGGCCCGCGGGTGTAGCGGGATCGCCCGGCCCTCGAGGACAAGCAGGGGACAAAGGAGAGGCAGGGACACTAGGAACTCCAGGGTCTACGGGCCGCGAGGGTCCACAAGGAATTAAAGGTGACGCCGGCGACAAAGGAAGCCAAGGAGCCCCTGGCCCTCAAGGCCTACCAGGGACATTGGGAAGTAACTGGAAACAGTGCGTTTTCAAAAATCTGAACGACGATAGGGACATTGGATTAGTCAAGGTAAACAATTGCATTCGTGTCTTCCTCTGATGGGTAGAAAATATTTTCCCGTCATTTTTAGGCTGTTGAGAAACTGAAACTAATAGGCATAGAAAAGTATTGTCTCATTATAAGGCGCACTGCGATTAATCAATTTAGAGGACAGCGCCACAGTCAAAATTTGTGTTTGTTGCCAAAACACCTCGCCATTTATCACCAATTCGTGTCATTTTTCATAGGAAAATAAAGGTTTAATCAAGCGTTTGCTATATATTGTATGTCCTGAAAATGTGTTGACGACTGGACATCGATTAGAAAAGGATTCGTTTTGCTCTCGACATGCGTTAATCATCCCATTTAAAGGCGTTCCGCGTAAGGAACCCTGTCCAAACCAGTCAGACACACAGAAGAGATATGAAAGATACTCAACAAACTTTATCTTTCCTTTCCTTAGCATAAACAATCTAACCTTGGATTTTTTGATTATCAATATAAATCAAAGAGGAAAACCGCTGCTCGTAATTTACAGTAACGACCTCAAACTCGCTAAGTGTAATACGTACTTGGAGAACCTGATGTTAGAAAGTATTGCAATCGTCGCTAGCTTTCAGAAAGCCAATTTTTAACGCATTGAAGGCGCATCCTAACCAGTCAATTTATGTTTGCGTCTTTTTTCGTTATCTTTTTTAATATTCTGTTAATAAGTACTTAAAAACTGGTCCAGCTTCCTTGTACCAAGTATATTCTTGAGTGAAGCAATTTATTGTTGATGATTTTTTTAGGAATGTGTTTTCAACAAATTGTCTCCCAACACTGGCCTCCGTGTTTACTGGAATGGCGCTCTCAGTATCTACAACTGCCACGCTTGCTGCAAGCGGTGGTATTTCACCTTCAACGACGTAGAGTGCTCGGCCCCCGCTGCCATTGATGGTTTAGTGTACATGGTACATGGGAATGGAAACAAGAAGAATTTACACCGGGTGCGACAAATCGAAGGTGTATGTGAGAAAGTCCCCCCGGGAATCGTGCGCGTGGGATTCTGGGTCGGCAATTGCCAGAGTGTCAAAAGTGCTGACGCGTACACGGGCTGGAACTCAGTATCCCGGATTTACGTGGAAGAAGTGCCACCTCCACAGGACTAAAACCTGTTAAAACTACGTCAAGTCTGCCAAACTTAGAAAAACTACACGTAAAGCTCTTAAAAAAGCAAAATCAAAATAGTGAGGGTTAATGAGAGGCTAATATCATGAGTTGGAATAAATAAAATAGAAATCTAATAAGCAAGGGCTCAAACTGAGTAAAAGCAGATGCAAATGGTAAACTCCGAAATTAAAAGGATCGACGGAAAATCTATCATTTTCTAAAATCTATTTCCACACACGTTGCTTTTGACAAAGCTGATCCCAGCCGTATACAAAACGCCTAGAGCCATAGCATCCTTGTAATGGCTTAACTAACGAACGAACTGTCTTCCATGTACAACATCGGACCCTTAAGACGTCTGATTCTTTGTAAGGAACTCAATTTTTTTTCGATTTCTCGTGCTCCTGACAAAAGCAAAGCATCCTTCTTCTTTCGAAAGCCGAAATTAAAAACTACAAAAACTATCTTCCTCCATCGTTATTTATTCGTGATGAAAAAGGTGACAGATCACCGTGGGGATAAATCTGCGCGCAGTGTGGACAAAAATCCAGGGCGGTTATTACAGCTTGTCAGCGAAAGCAATAGCGTTCTTTTTCAATTTCTTCCTGAACCTTCTTTTCCTGCTGAAAGTGGCTTGATAACCATCACTGTTCCGGGACTGGTCACAAGCTCTTAGCGAGAGCTAGATCTTGGTCATGTTCGGTGACAAGATTTATCACTGCAACAGAAACAAAAGAATCTGTACCAATTTGAATACAGCATGGTGGAGTGGGTGCAGTTAATATTCTGTAGAATACTTAAGATGATCTGTAAGGGATACATTGTGACACAATCTTGAAAATACCACAGTCACGCGAACACAACTTTGGCAAAATTGTATGTAGCACTGCGTACTGAAATTTGATTAATGGCAGTACTCTCTTGGGCTGTCCCAACTGTTACAGTTAGTCAACGCGCGGCCCAGCCTGGGTTCCCATACGACCCATACGGGATGACACAGCGGCAAAATGAGTGCGCGTACTCCGCTATTAGAACTGTATGAGCGTTCATGGCAACCATTATTCTTCGTCTGCAAACAAAGCTGACGCGGGTTTTTACGCCGAGACAACAAACTTTTTCTCCATGAGGTTTACCTGCTGAGGAGACTATGATAAGAAGCGCTCAAGCGATAAAAAATGCTTCAGACTTCGTGGTCAAAATACGGATGCTCTACTTCTTAAATTCACAACTGTTATAGCGACAATTTTTTTGGTTGAGTGAGATATGTGACGGATGAGGTTCGACAGAAACCTTCCTGAAAACGGCAACCTTACCTGCATGTTTTAGTTTGAGCTTATCTTCGCAAGTGACAAAAAAATTTGGGAATTTGAAAAAAATGCCGCCGTATTGCTGCAATAGTGTTGCTACAGAAATATCGTCGTTCCCATTCCTTTGCGCTCGTAAAATTTATTGCTCGTTATTAGCATGCACACTAGTTTAGCCGCTGTGACGTACGGGATATTTAAGTTTCTAACAAGCGCAAAATGGTCTCTTCAAAAAGTGCCACGAAACCACCGATTTGGAACGTCTCTTTCAGATTTTTATTTTTCACTCAGTTTCAGCAGGAGCCATTACTTATTAAGTAATGGGCTCCTGGTTTCAGGACTTAAAGTTTCGTGTTACCGGTTCCTAATTGTGTAAACGCTGGAACATCTGTTTTGTTTTGTTAAATGTTTCGATTCAATACATGCTTTCATTTAGACTTTGCATGGTTAGTCACTGTACCAATTTTGTAAAGAGTTCAAGCTTGAACTTCTTGTCAAAGCCCTGTCAAGCGAAATTAAGGGTCGCTTTTAGACAAAATGATATTTTGTCCGCATGGATTTAAAAAAACTCATATCCTACCTTTACCCGATGTACCCGCCCTAGCCAAATAGTTATAGTTTGATCATTCAGAATGACATGTTTCTAAAGCACTGAGTCACTCTGTCCTTGCTCTGCAGTGCCATTGAGAAAGTTATAAGCTTCCTCTGCTGCTTTTGTCGTGTTAACAAACACCAACACCCGTAAATTTTTCAAACGAACTGGCTCAAGACAGGCTTCTCCTTGCCGTCCTTGAGTTTCACCATCAATTTTAATTTCATTTTCAAGATCCAATCTCTCAGCACCCTTTCAAATGAATACGATTTGTCTTCCCCTTTTTTACTGCTAGAATCATTTGTGCTATGATCAACATTTACTTTCTGCATGGAAGTTATGTTTCCATTCTTTGCTCTTCCAATATTGCTAAGTGGATACCTGATCGACCCCGCTAGCGAATTCAGGCAACGCAACAACTCAGGCAATTTAAGAGCATCTTCTACCTTAACGTAACATATATCTACTGTTGGCCTTGTGTGATGGGCCAAATCTGTGGAGACAAATTCAGACAAAAGACAAAAGCAAAACCAAAACAGTCCCGGATTACTTTCAATACTCAGTTGAAAAGTGCTCGATATCTTGGTGAACTCTGAGTTATTCCGCCGCATAAAATGTTTTTCACTATGCTTTGAATGGTGACTGAATCCCATTGGAGGTGGCCAAAAGGAAAATCACGGTGAATTGATATCAAATCGCATGTCGAAGAGCCCTACCTTTTCACATCCAGTCTCCTAAATGTTTGTGAGGTGATTGCTAAAGTTATAAATATTTCGAGATAAATTAATTGAAAAACCCTTGGAATACCACCCCTCTCCCCGTTAATCGCTCCTCTCCCATTCCCCACTCATAAGTATTTCATTCTTCTTGAATACGATGAACTAAGGCGTGACCTGGCAGCAGTCCGCAGATCACAGAAACTTTCTGGTTGAAGACTCGTGACATTGAGTAAGGAGAGGGTTCTGACGGGCTGTGATTCAACATGGCAGAACGGGTTCGAAACCAAAGAAAAGCGAATTATCAAGAGAATGACTTCTGTTTCCCGTAACTGATCACCCCCGCAGGTTTTTAAATCAAAAGAAGTCACGAACTTATCCACACCGCTAAACGTAGGAATAAGTGGTAAGTAAATAAAAAATATGGTAAAACAGATAGCGCTATTTATCGTGGGAATATGTTGTAATGCGCTCTTTTTCATGAAAGAACATCTAATCTTGTGAACGAAGCCGAACGTTCGCAACACGGACGTGACCGGGAAACCTTACTAAGTAGTTTATTACGTGTAGATTAAGGTCGATAATTAACTGTTTTGTTCCTCTGTGCATCATCGTTTATGTAAAAAAATTCAAAACATGTCCTGAAGTAATTGGGTAATTTTCCTGTTGGACCACAGTGGTACATTAGTTCTGGCCGTTTACGTTCAACGTGTGTATAAATAATGATCAATAAAGTAAAAATAACGTTTTTACCCGTCTCTAAGAAGTTGTTAAGATATTGTTGAAAACCTTAGCCTTGACGTTGGTATAAAAATGGTTCGTCCTCAAGTGGACGTGCTTGGTTTGTTTGCTGACCTTGCTTTGGACCCACACGAAAGTTCTTGTTTTGACTGACTCAGTCAGAAGTTGACTTAATTGATCGGAAGCATTATGACTAAGTACTTAATAGTTCAAATCGAAAGTCTCGTGAAATTGTTTGGTTTAGCGTTCTAACAACAAATAATGGATCTCCCAATGTCAGCCAGCTAGCATGCCCACCCATATCAGTCAGTCAAAGCATGTTCTTTTGAGTTTACTTAGAAGAGAGTGGGGAGAAAAGAGAAAAGAGAAGAGAAAAAATAGAAAGAAGAGAAGACAAGAAGAACTGACGTAGACAGTGTGCAGTAGAGTAGGGTCAGAATCCCGCAGTTAAAGAAAAATTATCAAATGATAATCAGAGTGTGAGAGCCTAAGGGATTAACCAGAGTTACACAGAATAAAATAAACTTGGATGTAAGTGGAATTGTGTACTGGAGAAGCGAGTAATTGAAGAAAGCAGAAAAAGACGGTTCGAGAGTCCTGGTGCCTTTCGCCGGGCTTGGTGCGCTCGATAGCTAGTTCCCCCGACATTAAGTCAGTCGTAACATTATCTGTGGTCTTATGATGTAAAAAACCATAGTGGATCGCGACTTTCTACTGAGCGGAAGGACTTTTCTATTGTAATCACCTTTCTTTAAGTTGAAATTTACATCCTCTCAGGTTACGAATACTTTCACAGAAGTATTAATTGGCAATTTCGGGGCTCAAATTTTGGCTAAACTGGAGAGAAAGGCTGTGTTTTTTTAACCACTCATTAACTTTTTTTTAAAGCTGTTTTGATATCTTTCTCATTCCTGACAGCATTGGGACACTTTCCTAACTGATTTAAACCATTTCACTCCCAAGATCTCATTAGTGATTCTCCTTACGGTCTGCTATAACATTTTTATGATGTAAGTTTGGAGAATTTGGTATTGGATCTACAAATAATCTCCTAATACATATTTTTCTTTATTCTTGCCACTTGTCTTCTCGATGTTATATTGATATTTTAAGGAAAAATTCTGACTTGGTCACTAGTGGGAGTTGTAGGGATTAATTTGATTTGAAGGACAGAACGTGATTGGGAATTTCTCATTACAAATTTCGAAATACATTTTGACAGAAATCTTTTCCACTGTTAACCAAATCTATTTTGATGATCTACTTCACATCGGAACTGTATCAAAGGATTTCCCATACGTCACACGTTCAGGTTTCATTCTAACTAATTTCCGGTGATTGTACTTGAAAAGCAAGTCCAGTGAGGAAAAATCAATCAGTATTTTCAAACATCTTAGAACTACAGTTTGCCTCTTTCTTAAAACAAGGCGTCTTCTGACTTGAACGCAACTCCTTCCACGTCAGGTCGGGTGAGTGTTATAGTTATGTCAAAGAACAACTTACTAGACAACGAGCAGGCTCTCGTCAATAGCGCTCGGCACCAGAATGTTTGTTCGAAAATATGATGCCTTGCGCAAGAGGGTTTCAATGGGGTGATGGCTTCTACGACCAACGGTTAAAATTTTGGCCATTTTACGGCTAACGGTTCATATCTTTCCACTGTGTTCACCAGAAACATTTTCGCAATTCACTTTGGTTAGGACTAACGGTTAAAATTTTGGCCATTTTACGGCTAACGGTTGATATCTTTACACTGAGTTCACCAGAAAAATTTTTGCATTTAACTTTTGGTGGGGCTAACGGTTAAAATTTTTTAATTATTACGCCTAACGGCTAATATTTTTGGCCGTTTTTAGGGCTAACGGTTAACCCTGTTGAGACCCTCTGGGCAACGCGAGCCGGTGAGAGGTCTGTGAGAGATCTAGCATTGATAATGCCAGAACCCAAGCAAACCTCTCCTCGACTACGGCGACTCGTCACGGGGGAAGAAAAGCGTTCCAAGGCGTTCGAATATGATGTCAAAAATGGGTGATTTCTTGGCAGTTGTAGATATGTCACGCCCCTTAATCGTTGCGTGACATCTCAATGCAATGATGTGTTTACTCCATTTTCCTACAGATCAATCGGGATTTAACAGATTTACTTTCCACAATGAATGCCTCGCCAATTTGGACTTTATTGGTACTCATTTTACCGCTGATCACATCGTGTCTAGCAGTGACTGATGATAACAGTAATGGTAAAAATAGTAACGGAGCTTGTGGTCACAGTCATTGCATGCATTGCTCTTGCGCGCCTGGTATCCCAGGCATTCCCGGGAGTCCTGGACCGGCAGGGCCCGCGGGTGTAGCGGGATCGCCTGGCCCTCGAGGACAAGCAGGGGACAAAGGAGACGCAGGAACACCAGGAACTCCAGGAACTCCAGGGTCTACGGGCCGAGAGGGTCCACAAGGTGCTGCCGGCGACAAAGGAAGCCAAGGAGCCCCAGGCCCTCAGGGACCACCAGGAACATTGGGAAGTAACTGGAAACAGTGCGTTTTCAAAAATCTGAACGATGATAGGGACTCTGGATTGGTCAAGGTAAATGATTGCATTCGCATATTTATTTAATGGGCAGACAATACTTTCCCGTCAGTTCAAGCTGTTGAGAAACTGAAACTAATAAGCTTAAAAAAATATTCTCGTCTCCTCATTATAACGCGCACTGCGATTGGTCAATTCAGAGGGCCGCGCCATGATCAAAATTTGTGTTTGTTGCCAAAATACCTCGCCATTTATCGCTAGTTCGTGTCATTTTTCATGGGAAACTAAAAGCTTAAACAACTGTTTGCTAAAAATTGTATGTCCTGAAAATGTGCTGACCACCGAACATCGACTAGAAAAGGATTCGTTTTGCTCTCGACGTGCGATATTAATTTGAAGGCGTTCCGCGTAAGGAACCCTTTCCAAACAAGTCAGACACAAAGAAGAGATATGAAAGATACTTAACCTACCTTATATTTCCTTTCCTTACCTTAAATGATCTAACCTTTTATTTTTTTTTATTAGTAATTTACAATAACGACTTCGAACTCGCTAAGTGTAATACGTACTTGGAGAACCTGATGTAAGAAAATACTGCAATCATCGCTAGCTTTCAAAAAGCGGATTTTTAACGCATTGAAGGCGCATCCTAACCAGTCAATTTATGTTTGCGTCTTTTTTCGTTATCTTTTTTTTTTGCTTGAATTCTGTGAAATTAGTACTTAAAAACTGGTCCAGCTTCCTTGTGCTAAGAGGATTCTTGATTGTAGCAATCCATTGTTGATGATATTTTCAGGAATGTGTTTTCAACAAATTGTCTCCCAACACTGGCCTCCGTGTTTACTGGAATGGTGTTCTCCGTATCTACAACTGCCACGCTTGCTGCAGGCGGTGGTACTTCACCTTCAACGACGTGGAGTGCTCGGCCCCCGCTGCCATTGAGGGTTTAGTGCACATGGTACATGGGGATGGAAGCAAGAAGAATTTACACCGAGTGCGACAAATCGAAGGTGTATGTGAGAAAGTCCCCCCTGGAAACGTGCGCGTGGGATTCTGGGTCGGCAATTGCCAGAGTGTCAAAAGTGCTGACGCGTACACGGGCTGGAACTCAGTATCCCGGATTTACGTGGAAGAAGTGCCACCCCCACAGGATTAAATCTTGTCAAAATAGGTCAAGTCTACAAAACTTAAAAAATCTATACGTACAGCTTTTGAAAAAGCAAAATCATAATAGTGAGGGTTGATAAGAAGCTAATTTCATGAGTTGGAATAAATAAAATAGAAATCTAATTAGTATGGGCTCAAACTGAGTAAAAGCAGATGCAAGTGGTAAACTCCGAAATTAAAAGCAACGACGGAAAATCTATCATTTTGTAAAATCTGTTTCCACACACGTTACTTTTGACAAAACTGATCCCGGCCGTATGCAAAACGCTTAGAGCCATAGTATCCTTTTCATGGCTTACCTCACGAAAGAGCTGACTTCTATGTACAACATTGGGCCCTAAAGACGTCTGATTCCTTGTAAGGAACTCAAATTTTTTTCGATTTCTCGTGCTCCTGACGAGAGCAAAACATCTTTCCTCATTCGATAGCCGAAACTAAAACTACAAAAACTATCATCCTTAATCTCCATTTATTCGTGATGAAAAAGGTGACAGATCACCCTATCACCGTGGGGACAAATCTGCGCACAGTGTGGACAAAAATCAACAGCGGGGGTATTACAGCTTGTCAGCTAAAGCAATAGCGTTCTTTTTCAATTTCTTCCTGAACCTTCTTTTCCTGCTAAACGTGGCTTGATAACCGTCACTGCTCCGGGACTGGTCACAAGCTCGTACAGCGCGAGCTAGATCTTGGTCATTTTCGGTGACAAGGTTTATCACTGCAACAGAAACAAAAGAACCTGTACCAATTTGAATACAGCTGGGTGCAGTGGGTGCAGTTAATATACTGGAGAATACTACTACAGCTAGTTAACGCAAGGCCTAGCCTGGGTTCCCATACGACCCATACAGGATGACACAGCGGCAAAATGAGTGCGCATGCCCCGCTACTGGAACTGTATGAGCGTTCATCGCTACCATTATTCTTCCTCTGCAAAAAAAGCTGACGCGGGTTTTAACGCTGAGACAACAGACTTTTTCTCCAGGAGGTTCACCTGTTAGGGAGACGATGACAACAAGCGCTACAGCGATAAAAAATGTTTCAAACTTCGTAACCTTAATACGAATGCTCTACTTCTGTCGTTAAATTCACACTGTTACAGCATTTTTTTTTGTTGAGTGAGATATATGACGGATGAGGTTCGACAGAAACCTTCCTGAAAACGGTAACCTTATCGTTTTGGTTTGAGCTTATGCTCGCAAAATAACAAAAAAAATACGGGAATTTTAAAAAATGCCGCCAATTGCTGCAACAGTGTTGCTACAGAAATATCGTCGTTCCCATTCCTTTGCGCTCGTAAAATTTCTCGCGCGTTATTAGAATGCGCACTAATTAAGCCACTGTCACGTACGGGATATTTATGTTTCGAACAAGCACAAGAATTGTCTCTTCAAAAAGTGCCACGAAACCACCGGTTTGGAACGTCTCTTTCAGATTTTCATTTTTCACTCAGTTTCAGTAGAAGCCATTACTTATTAAGTAATGGCTCCTGGTTTCCGGACTTAAAGTTTCGTGTTACCGGTTCCTGATTTTGAAAACGCTGGAACATCTGTTTTAAGTAATTCTCGAAAATGTTTCGATTAAATACATGCTCTCATTCAGACTTTGCATGGTTAGTCACCTTACCAATTTTGTAAAGAGTTCAAGCTTGAACTCCTTGTCAAAGCCCCGTCAAACGAAATTTAGGATCGCTTTTAGACAAAATGACATTTCGTTCGCATGGATTTAAAAAAACTCATATCCTACCTTTACCCGATGCACCCGCCCTAGCCGTCCTCCCCGTGCGATGCAGCACCTGAGTGGCACTCAGGGCAAAGTCCAACTGAATCACATGACTAACATCCGGGATGTCCAACCCTCTAGATGCTAAGTCTGTGCAAATCAAGACCTTCAATTCTCCAGATGTAAATTTCTTTAGCGTATCTATTCTTTCAGCGGGCAAGATATTTTTGTGAATCTGACCAACTTTGCCTGGCCATAGATCGATGTACCCGGTACGTGTCACAAAACGTCTTTGTGCTTTTGCCTCAACACCAATGTCCGATTCTCCCGGGTCATTTTGCCAAATAGTTATAGTTTGATCATTCAGAATGACATGTTTCCAAGGCACTGAGTCACTCTGTCCTTGCTCTGAAGTGCCATTGAGAAAGTTATAAGCTTCCTCTGCTGCTTTTGTCGTGTTAACAAACACCAACACCCGTAAATTTTTCAAACGAACTGGCTTAAGACAAGCTTCTCCTTGCCTCCCTTGAGTTTCACCATCAATATTAATTTCCTTTTCAAGATCCAATCTCCCAGCCACCCTTTCAACTGAATACGATTTGTCTTCATCTTTTTTACTGCTAGAATCATTTGTGCTATGATCAACATTTACTTTCTGCACGGAAGTTACGTTTCCATTCTTTGCTCTTCCAATATTGCTAAGTGGATACCTGATCGACCCCGCTAACGAATTCAGGCAACGCAACAACTCAGGCAATTTAAGAGCATCTTCTACCTTAACGTAACATATATCTACTGTTGGCACTGTGTGATGGGCCAAATCTGTGGAGACAAATTCAGCATCTGGTAACCATTCCCTCAACACATTATAAATGTCCTTTTCCCCACGTGAAGGCAACGTTGCAGCCACAAAGATAAATTGCCGATGCAGGGCCAGAGGAGTTGTGCTGGCTTGAAAACCTGACCCTTCAACTGGCAAATGTACAGTTTCATTCAACTTGTGTTCATTTGATTCCTTACCATGTACTTCAGCATTATTTACAACTTTTAAAGACTTTGATCTTAGCTTTTTCCGCCTCTTCGTTGTGATCTCTATACCCATAAAATAACTGAGAATTTCATAAATTTCTTGTTGTCCATTGGTTAACAAGAGGTCTGCTTCATCAGTAACCACTACTCTAATGTTACGTAGAGTCCTGGGGCTATAGGTGAGCAAGGCACTGGGTGTGGCCAGTACAATGGGGTGTTTGGAGTTTATTTGTAACTTGGAGTCTTTATGAACAGTGCATGGCTGCATTGAATCATCTGTTAGACTTTGAAACACATTGGCAACCTATTCAAATGAGAGAGAACAATAAGTTTCCAAGTTTTCAAATTCTTCAAGAATTTTGCAAGGATCTTAATTAGCAGTTTCAAAGAAAAGTTTACAATAGCAAAGGACAAAGCACTTGACTTGTTACTCCTTTAACTCTGAAAATGTGTAAACATTTTCATTTCACTGTTAGCTGGATTTCAAAAATCAGATCCAAGGAGCGGAGAGTTCTATGCATTATTTCATGGCATCTGACCTCACCTGATGGCAAAGTTCAATAGTGGGCAGCAAAACAACAGCATATGGTGGCTTAGAAACTGTTTCTTTGTCCACAAGAAGTTTATTGATAATAGGAAGAAGGTAACCTGTAGGAACAACCAGAACAGCACCTTGAGTTAATACACTGAAGAAATCTCAACTACTTTCAATCAGGATATATAGATCCTTTAAAGAAAAAAAAAACCATGATGCCTTGTGTCTGTGAAGTGTTAAATCACAGATGACCTAAAAAATGTGGTAAAAACAAAAAAGAGTCGCACCAAATGTGTCACTTAGGTTCTTACCATAAATTGACCTCTTAGTTGAGTCAAAGTGATTTTAAAAGTACACAACATTATTCAAAACCAAAATATAAAAATACTTGAAAACAATCAAAGCAGATGGTTTGTGGAAAACACTAACTCATCTCCTGTTATAATAATTTACCCACTTACAAAGAGTTTTTCCACTTCCTGTTTCTGCATTAATGATTGTGTTTCTTCCTTCTAAAACTGGTCTCAGGGCCTAAAGGAACATTAAGAAATTATATAGCTAAAACAAGATTTAAATGCCATGGCAACACAAAAGTTTTCATGAAAAATCTACTTCGCCTGGGTATCCGGAGAACTCCCAAGGAAACCCTCCTGAATTGTATGGTCATGGTACAGGAAGGTTGTGTCTCAACAGTTTCTTTCCAGCACCTGCATTCCTTAGAGTGCAAAATCATAATGCAAAGCCACCGACGTCTGAGTCCTCCCGATACTTTTACAAAACGAAGAACGAAAGAGTAGATACTATTCCCCCTTTAACTCCCACCTGTGATTAACATGTAGCTTCTCACTAAAACATCCATACATTGTCAAGAAAATGGGTAATGAGAATACTCAAACTTATCAGGTAAAAGGTGTTTTCTCGATTTAACCCCAAATTCTCGTAATTTATTTGAAGTAGCTAGAGGGGGGAATTTACAATCCGATCTAGGGAGTAAAAAGGTTACTTTAGTAGGCTCGTATTGAATTGTACTGGAATAAACCTCACCTTTTCCTGAATTTCTGTCGGTTTTTCGATACGTAAATTCCTTAGCCGTTTGACTAAGTTGTTTTCCAATCCGAAGGAATTGAAAAACCGCGTTGCCGTCCTCTCAAAATAAAAATATTTCCATAGAAAATATCTTGTTCGGAAACGCACGAGCGCGGCCGCCATCTTGCCAAGCAGCCGCGCAAAGATTTTTCGATTGCTTGGTAGCCTCTCGATTAGTCTGATGACATGTACCTGTCAAAATAGCATAGTTTGCAGAAAGGTTTTCGTAACCATGTAATAATTTCGTATTATTGCATTTAAGGTTACGATGTTTTGGTTTACGCTTTTTCGGTTTTTAATTGCTTGAAAATGAAGACATCGGGCTCTTATGTCTGCTAAATTTGTGAAATATGGCATGGAACACAAGATCGAAGTGGACTCGCTCCAAACTGGAGCCTCCTCGTCTTCCAGCTCGCTTGACCGAGTTTCAGGGTAAGCGCAGCGTAACTTAAGTCGAATTTTGCAAGGACAAGATGTTCCTCATTTTTTTGTATCTTAGGGCGGTAAAACAGCATTAATTCTACTTGCGGGAATCGTCTAAGCAGTTATCAGTGATTCGATCCTTCTCGATTCAGCTCAACTTCCGTCGTACGTGATTAGTTGAACTGTTGCGACTTACAATTTTTGGTGTAAAGCGAACATGAACTGCAGTAAATCGTATACAAATGTACAATGCTATGTACAGCTCTCCCTTTTAGTAAGTCTGAGACCATAACCAGGTGTGTTATCACTAGAATGACTCGGATTACTCTTTAAGAAGCGGTTACTTACTTAACGGTACACTTTCAATTGTCTCAAATCATAGCATGCATCGAAGATATTCGACAGGTTTTTACATATTTATTTGTCAATTTATGTGTGAATAAACAACGGTATGATTTTGCCTAAATGAATTTTCGTGGTAGCATGAATCAGCCTTCCGTAATTTGAAGATAGATTGATGATCACTGTGTTATCAAATTACTAATATCTTGGACGTGATAAAGGTGTTTTTGTGGGCGTGATTGTAGGTGTGATCATCACCTGATCATGAAATTAGCAATAAGTATGATATATAGGGTGATTCATTGTTTACAGTCAACGTTCAGCAGTAATGTGCCCTTGACTTTCATGAGTATATAGTTTGGTAGTCAATAGGAAAATATGACGATAACAAAGTACTGATACTCCTTCTTTGCCCTTTGACCCCTGAGAGAGACTAACATCTTATTTCTCTTTACAGTACTACCTCAGAATCAAATTTAAGGGTCATGAAAATAAAGGAAATGATCACTAACTAAAGAAGCTCTTTATTGCCAAGCAAATTCTCCTTGTTCTGTTTGTACCAAATGTATAGAGAACAGTATGGAGAATATGCATACCTGTACTTAAGTGCATGAAATGTGATCAGAACCCTTCCTCCACTTTGCTACCCTCAGCAATGGGCACCTTTCTATAACATCCACCTCCCTTTTCCTCATTGTGGGGAAGTTCCACTGTAACTAATTCTGTGTTTTTGACAGATGCTGATCTCTCAGATACATATGTCCCCAATAAAGACCCTTCCACCGGTGTGCAAGCTTTGGAAGGCAGAGTGCCTAACTATCTGTTGTTAGTTTCTCTACTGGAACATCTCTGTTCTCTGTATGAGACTGATCCAGAGAAAAGCAAGAAGATCTTTAATGGTAAGTGTCACACTTTGGAAATACTGAACACAAAATATATGAGTCAAATTTGTTTTAGAGAACTGTAATAGTCACTGATAGGATCCACTGAGATGCTGTGCAGATTTATCATAAATATAGGTTTGAACAGTCATATCTATAAGAGTCAATGCTATAGCTACATGTAAATAGTATTTTGATAATTGATGTAATATTGTAAACTAAATTAGACTGCAGCAAATTAGTAACATGGTCTTTTAATAACAATCTATGGGAAAAAAAAGGTCTCACTTAATGCAATGTAGTGGATCAAATGGAAGGTCAGTCACTTCTATGAAATCTTTGGGCAGATTTTGAGATTTTGTGTCAGACTATCTCTGTCATAGGGCCTGGTGTACCTGTGACTCTCACATATCCCTCTGAATTATGTTGGAAACAAGTATGAATTGATAAAATGTCATTAACTTCTTCTTGGCTGAAAGTTGGTACAGACTGTACCTTTTAAGTGTTCTCTATTTTTAATGCAATGAAAGTGGAATTTAATTGACAAGAACTTTTTTTTTGCAGTTATCTGTCAGCAGCTTGTGAAGATGAAGGTATGCACTTGTTTTTAACTCCTGTTCATTGTACTTCTGTTTAATACATGTAAGGTCTTGAGCATGCTATTGCTGAAAAATGGTTTTCCAAGAAAAACCCTTTCATGGGCCATACTGGAAGACACAAGCAGGGAAAGAAAAGTGGACACTGTCTAGCATACTGCTCTGTGAGATGTAAAACTGCTGCAAAAAAGTTGTCAAGTCATGGTACGACTGATATTGTAAGGAGTCGTGATATACTAGTCATTCTTAGGAGTCAAAGGGTTAAGAGGTTACATTATTCAACTGATTTACTTTTTCCAGGTGATGCCCCCCTTTTCATTTCTTGAGGAATTCAGTGTTATCAGGGAGAAATACAAAACAGCTTTCAGTGATCTCATGCAAGCTGCTGCAAGGACCACTGGAACAGATGTAAGAAAGCATGTTTATGCCATTGCATTTTGGACTTGAAATTGGTAGTGGGACACTGTTGGAATATATGAGGTTGTAATGAATATATCTGGAGTTTTCTAATCCTTGAGCCAAATTGCATACTCCTGTCATTTTCCCCTTTTGTGATAAATAAAACAAACAGTGGGGGAAAACAAACCTTGTTCAACTTAACACATTTCAAAAAGGTACATCAGTACATCAACCTTTTTTGTAGGTTAAATAAGCAGATGAAACACCTGAACTGGTTAATCAACCATAATGTGAAAATCTTGAGAAAAAATAATGATGTCATACTCTGAACCTTATGTGCTGATTGGTTTGTTGTGCCTGTCAATTATTACCCTACACACACCATTTGAGAATTTTTTGCCTTTTCAATATAACTGTGCCTCAACTCTGCAATGCAGCCACATCCTCTGCCTCACAACCTCATGTGGCTCTCCCTTTGGGTCAGGATGAGGAGTATAATTTACAGGAACTCAGGTTGAAAGTATGAAAAATGTTTTTTAATGTGTTTGATATGTTACTGAAATTTCAGCTCCTTAGTTTCCCATCTGGGTTGAGGAATAAGGGCCCTTTTGGCAGATGTATGTGTAGGTAAGAAATTTGGTGGTTATACATTCACTTGTTTTCCTTAGAGCAGAAATGAACTGTCTTGTTTGGATAAATGTTTCTAATTATGTGAATTCAATCCCCAGAGTTATTTATTTTCTTTTGATTTCACCCTGGTTTGTCTCTTCAGGAGCCTATCTGCTCCCCATAAAATGCAGGATCTTTTGCAAAATGGAACTTCTCGTTACAAGGAGGAGTTTGTCGAGATCATAAGACTTGGTAAAGGAGGCTTTGGAAGTGTTTTCAAGGTTTGTGGCCTAACCATAGCTTTGGGAGTAGGTGGAAGTTTTTATCATCATGCTTCTTGCACATTTATTAAGTATAAAACTCAAGACTGAAGTTACTTTTTGTTTGTTTCTTTTAAGGTGAAAAACAAACTTGATGGAAGAGAGTATGCAGTAAAAAAGGTTCCACTTAAAGAAACAAATCCTGATCTTTGTTTAAAGGTATACACAAAAATCCAGTACTCCACACACAGTAACTGTACCTTTGTAAGCCATATGAGTTTTTTACATAATTACGTGTGCTGGACTCTGGGTCAAGAGGTCTGGGTTCAAAGCCTGGCCAGGTCATTGTATGTTATATTCTTGGGCAAAACACTTTACTTTCACCATGCCTCTCTCCACTTAGGAAGATAAATGGATACCAGTGATTTTTCAGGGAGGCTGGATGAAATTCTAGGGGGGTTAACCTCCTGATGAAGCTTCCCACCCAGGATGGGGTGGGGGGGGGGGGGCTTGCATATCACAGCCATTACTATAGAATAGGACACAGTAACACTTGCATGCCTTTGTTTCTTGTATATAGGTTTTGCGAGAGGTCAAAGTTCTGGCAAACCTAAGTCACAGTAATGTTGTTGGATATCATGCAGCATGGCTAGAGTATGTGACAACAGATACTGTCAACACTACTATGCCCAGTAAGGAAAAATCTTTGTAAACCATTGGAAAAGATAAAAACCATACCTTGCAAGGAATTGAAACCAGTCAAAGAACTGATGCATGTAAATGGAAACAGTTCAAAAAGAGCTTAACGGGGGATTAACCCTTTACACCTGAAGATCAGTATGCATATTCTCCTTACTGTTCTCAATACATTTTCTAGGGAACAGACAAGGAGAATTTGGTTAAAAATTGAGAACATCTTTAACTGGTGATCATTTCATTTATTCTCATGACCTCAATGTGGATTCAGGGGTGATACTGTAGGAGAAATTACATGTTGGTCACCCTTGGGGGGTTAAAGGATCCATACAGAGAGGAAAAGGTGTTTAATTTTGTGTGTGGAAAACTATTTTGGGATCAATATTAGTATCTGGGCAACTGCCCACCTACCCCTCCCCTAACTCAACAACAGTCAATTGATAACAAGTTAGGGTTAATGTTGGGTTAGGGGAGGGGAAGGTGGGCAGTTGCCCAGATACTGATATTGATCCCTATTTTGCTTGTAAAACCTTAGAATAACATAATTTGTGTTCTTTCTGCTCTCATAAGGTATCTTCGACTTAATGCTCTCCTTACACCAGTTACAATAAGAGGTTTCAGAAAAGGTTGTAGATGGTGATTGATTGAAGTACTTTTCTCATCAGGAGTAGCTACGGTTCCTACAAGTCTTCAGGAATTCAGTGACCTTTCTTCTTTAAATGGAATTCACAGGTAGGTACCCTTCTTTAGTAGACTTGAATTTGTCAGCACATGTGTGAACCTGTTCCACGACGTAAATTACTGGCCTGTTCTCTGTAGCTCGCTGGTGGAGCATCTGTCTAGAAAGCCAGAAGGTAGGTGGTTGGAATCCTGGCTCAATGGGAACTCAGACTTTTTTTGTCCTAGGCTTGCAACAAATGTTCAAAAATTTTTCTTCATCTGGAACTTGTGTTATGAGAGGCTGCAGTCTTGCTTTATTGTTCATTCTCAGTGCAAAACTCCTTAAACCCCATCACACCAGCAAAACATGTTAAAATGAACTAGGTTTGACTGAAAGAAAATCAGCCACAGAAAACTGAGAAACTGAATTTTACACAAGGTTCAGGTAATCTTTAACTTATATTTACGTTGTGCTACATTTGAAGTCGACAAACGTCTCTTTAACTCCTCTTACCCTTACATCAGTGTGCATATTCTCTACACTATTCCCTATAAATTTCCTAAGGTGCTGACCAGGAGAATCAGTTTGAAAATCAAGTGCTTCTTCTGTTAGTGATCATGTCCTTTATTCTCGTGACCTTAATGAGTGATTTAGGGGTTATATTATAGGGAGAAATTACATGCCAGTCACTCCAAGGGGTTAAAAGGTTAGACACGTCTCTCTTTTCAGGATCATGGAAGTTAGTCATGATAGCCAAAACAGCATAGTGTTTGAAAGTTCATCTCAGGATCCCTCTAATAGTGGCATTGTGTTCATGGCTGATGATGACTCAGTGGGGACTGGGAGCCAGGCGGAAGGAAAGCAGCGTGGTGCCCATGGTATGATGCTTACCAGTCGTTTTATACCCAAGGACGTTTCGTACTCAGTTGATTCGTACCCTGCTGGGATCATTCGTATACCTAGTCTGTTTAGCCGTTTCGTACCCATGGTCATAAACTATGTTTTCCTTGTGAGTATGTTTTCGCTTGTAACAATCGACGTCTGTTCACATTCGCGCGTGAGGTATTTCGTGGAATCTCCTAGATTTTGATCGTCACTGAATGTTTCGGCGGGTACGAATCGACCAGCTGATTGGGCAGAAACCGACTCAAACTGGGTACGAATCGTCTGAATTTGGATACGAATCCGCTGAATACGAAACATCCGTGGGTGCGAAACGACTGGATTCTGGTATGGTAACCGAGTCGCTTTTGCTGGTTTACGCAAGTGGCAAAGAGAACATGTAAGTAATGAGATAGATTTAGAATAGTGGTGAATTTGATATCAGAAATGCTACGATCTCCCTCAATCTATTTACACACACAACACCTCTGAAATTTCTAATCCTATCACTACGCAAGACTCTTCTCACATTCAAACCCACAGCCTTCTTCAAATTTTGTTGAAACAGCTTGACCCCGCTCCACTCCCAATGTTGCGCTCCAGTTTTTTCTCTACCAATATTCTCTTTCTTTACTGAAATATCGTTAAATTTAAGCCGAAGAAACTGAGGGTCGCAGAGTGAATGGTGTACTGCTTGTTCGCTTTTAACTATTATTTTCAATTCACAGCTGAAAGTCACTTGGGCAAGATCCATTCAACCAACCTCAGGAGCACCAATAATACTCGTAAAAGCACGGCCCCTTATCATGCTTCACGTCGCAGCATGCGTCGATCAGCGTCCAGTTCAAGCTTAGGCTCCATGGCTAAAGATAGTGACCGTCACGGTATTGATGATGAACAAAGCAACGAGCTGAGTAGCGATCAGAGCAGTGCATTCGCAGAGAGCATACTGAAAAGTACAGCCGTTAGTAAGGTGAAATGTTTTTTGAGATTATTAGAGAAATTTTTATTTCAATTGGTTTGCTCAACTTCGCTCTGTGATTGGTTTAGAAAGCTCGTGCCGCCATCAAAAACCAATCAGATACAAAACTAAAACCAATTCCAGCTTGGTCACTCGCGTTTTCCCGCGCCTTATGCTGGTTGTCCGCTTTTACTTTGAGTTTTCATTAGTTGATGATAACGTCAATTTTTTTTCTGATTGGTAATTGTGATCACTTTGGTTTTGCTTTTTTGACACTTTTGAAAACTGCTCTTATGCAATTACAATCTGAATCTACGGATTAAAACCCAATCTGATACAGTGTAACGTGGAAAGTTAGCAGGTTTCCAATTTTGTAGATCGCCCTTGATCTGCAAAATTGGTCTACCATATCCCTTCTCTCTTAATAACTCTTTACGAAGATCAGTTCAAAGATATACTGCATTAAAACACAACATCGCAAAAAGGTTATTTTTTATTCATTTTTATCCGCAAAAACACAAAAAGTGGAAGCGAGAGTGTTAGGGAAGCGCTGTCAGAGAATAAGAACATTGCATGTCTTTTTTTGTTTGTGTGGTTGTTGGCCTTCGTTGTTTGTTTCAATATGTTCATTCATTGTGTCATCAGCGTCTAGGAATGTTGCTGTTTATTCAGATGCAGCTCTGCACAACAACACTGCGAGACTGGCTGGTGAAACGTAACGAGGAAATCTCCCACACCACTGGTAAGTACCAAGGGAAAGAGTTCGTATCGATCGGTAGTATTTCACTGAACGTTTTATTTCTTCCTTTCTTGTCAGACGGCCAAGTCGACAAATCAGCTGTTGTGGAAATTTTTCGCCAAGTTGTGGAAGGTGTGAGCTACATTCACTCTCAAGCGCTTCTTCATCGAGATTTGAAGGTAACAGCATCTGCAAGTGATATAGCTATCACGAAATGTGTACCGAGTGTGCGTTTCTACTCTTTCGTTTCTACGTCATCTTTCTCTCTCTCTTTTCCCCAACGATCCAACGATGAAGCAAGTGGCCAAGTTAGGGTGGAAAGATCTGAAGCTTTTATTTGTTACGCAATCGCTTTTACAAGAGATTAAAAAAATAACTTTAACAAAATGTCTTTAACAGTGAAAATCGTGAGGTTGACCCAATTTACAAACGACCGCCATTAAAGAAAGGCGACAATCTAAACTTTAGAAATGATTCACATATCATGTTCACAAGTATTTCACTTAATATTCGTGCAAGTCTTCGATTATTAAGAAATAGAGTCAACGATCCAGCGTGCAAGACTTCTCTGGGAAAGAAATTCCACACATTAACTGTCCACACAAAGAAAGATGCTAGTAACAATTGCGAGTAGGTGCTTTGTATACGCGAAGTTTAGTCGCACACAAGTGTAATTTCATTACCACTCTCTTTTCCAGCCAAGAAATATCTTTCTCCAAGGACTCAGACATCCAAAGGAAGAACGATATAGTTTCCAGGTCAAAATCGGTGACTTTGGTTTGGCTCGGAAAGAAGTGGTCGTGAGTCCTGGAGCTAGTAGTCCGCTGGCCAGTTTGATTGAGCCACTCACCCCGTTATTTTCTCCAGGTATGAAAGTGCTGTATTACCAGCTTAATGTGTTGTTGTAATTTCGAAGTTGCAAGGTAACATTTATCTGATTATATCAAACAGGATGTTCTGGTAAAGATGTTCCCACCGCTGGTGTTGGCACATGCACTTATGCTTCGCCTGAGCAACTAAGGAACAACATATACGATAACAAGGTGAATTTATAAGACTCACAGCAGAGTGCTCTTCGATCGAGTATCGGAATACTAAAACGGAGTAAAGACAACGGTGAATCAAGAGAAAGGAAAATATCACGAGGAAGCAATCAGGAGTCAGAGTTGTTTTTACTTTTTTCAGGTATCGGATTGGTTGAGGCGATGGACCAGGAGCAGTCCCTGAGCCAAAAGTTTTTTGAAGTGGAAACATAATTGAACGCCGTTTTTCACCAAAGTTACTCCATAGGTCATTCGTTTCCTTTGATCTCGACTAAATTGTAAGAACCAAGGTTTAGTGGGTTGTAATCGTAATCTTAGCTAAAAGTCTGCTTATAATTTAACAAGATATCTCGGATTTTCTTTGTTTGCTCAACTGACTTAGGCGGATATTTACAGCTTGGGAATTATCCTCTTCGAGCTGTACTGTCCTTTTGGTACTGAGATGGAACGAGTAAAGAGTATAAAAGATCTCAGGCAGGGAAGGTTACCAGAAGACTTCTGTGAGAAATGGCCAGAAGAGGTTAGAGTAACATATTTTAATCATCTTTGTTACATAGGTGCGCTTCGCAGCCAAGTTAGGGTCCATTCCCTTGGCTGTATCGTTTTTTGAGCGCTTTTCGGTCGCCTCTTGTAAAGCCAGAAACAAAGTTACCATGACAGCCAATCAGGCAAAGAAAAATATCGCCAAGAGGCGATGAGAAATCAAAGTAAAAACAGGTAAACAAATGAATAAAAGGGGAAAGTTTCTAAAGAAACTGTGGTGGTGCATCGGTGGGAGAGTAAAGCAGGTAATTTAGTGTTAACAACTGAGTTGAAAACGTAAATTAGCCGCCTTAAAGGGTGAAAAAGCTGACGTTTCGAGCGTTAGCCCTTCGTCAATCGCTCTGACGAAGGGTTAACGCTCGAATCGTCAGCTTTTTACCCTTTACGGTGGCTATCTTACGTTTTCAACTCAGTTGTTAACACTAAATTACCTAAAAACAGGGAAACAGCCTGAAGTGGGGTAAAACGTTGATGACCAAGTTGCCAATTAAAGCTAATTAAAGCAAAACCAATGCAATCTAAGCTTCCTTTGGAAACTCCAAGGAAAATTCATCCAGTGGACTTTATGTTTTGTCGGAAAGGTCGTTGGACTTATCATGGGACCGGTGTTGAATATTACCAAGATAGTTTATTCACCGAACAAGATAAGTTTATTCTTGTGCCGCTACAAATATCCTCCAGTGGGACTGCACTCAATCGTTTAGTATTAAACATTTTTTATTAAGATATCGCGAATGGACTCCGTGAATTGAGACCGGTGTATTTTTTGAACCCCAGGCTCAGTGGTAGAGCATCGGAGCGCAAATCCGAAGGTTTGAGGTTCGATTTCTCATGGGGACTCAGAATTTTTCCTTTGTCCCACGCTTGTGACAAGACGAAAAAACATCTTTCTTAATTCTTTACCGAGCTCAAAACTTACCATCTCTACTATTTCTACCCAAAATTGTTTCCTTACTTCGCTGTTAATATAACTTAGCGCAAGGTTTTTGTCAGATGTTGCAGGCAAAGTTACGTAACTTAACAGAAGACGTGAATACTGTGTTAATAAAATTGTTGCAGCATCGGTTAGTCATTGATTACAATTGAAATTTCACCGGAGAGTCTGTTCAGAGAATTAAAAAGGTAATGTTTCTCTGACTAATAGGCTGCCGACACAGTTTTTGGGGAAGATTTCTCTCCTACTAGATCGAAAGATAATTGTTTTACAATTATTGAGCGAATCATAAAAAAGGTGAACAAAGCAGTTTAGCTGCTATTCATTTTAAAACATGTCACAAACCTCAAGTGCTAGAATACGCTTTTTAACTAAATCGAGAATGGTTTTGCATGCAAGTAAACATGTTCTTTGTCAAGTTATCGAAGCAACAGGTTGGTTTCAAACTTTTTATAAATCATGACAAGTCAAAAGACGCTTTGTGTTGTCATGTTTCGTTGTAGTCTAAGCTGATATTGGAGATGGTAGCTGAAAACTCTGGCAACCGGCCTACAGCAGAGTCTCTTCTTGAGCTTGGCTTCTTGAAAGCAAAGCACACGGTAAGTTTGGATTCTTCCTTTTTTGTCTCTTTCTTCGTTCATTTGTGTAGCATATTTGTTTTTGTTCCGTTTGTTTGGTTCGGTTATGTTTCGAGTTTTAATAAAAGGTAGTTTTCTACCTTGAAATATAATAATGGATAACAAGATATATCTAGCAAGTATCTGCAGAAAGAAGAACCAACCCTCTCTGTAGAGGACTTAAGCCGAAAAAAATAAGGGTTATGTTAAAAAATTCGTTACACTGCATCTTGGATTGAACTTTTCTGATAAGTGTGCTTAGAAGCTCTGCTTCAGTATTGTTGTTGTCAGTATAAAGGATTGTTAAAGGTTTGTCGTTTTGACATTTTCATGTCAAGAGAAGTATAGCACGTATGAATAAAGGGGTAAGTGTCTAAGGCAGTTGTGGTGCTGCGTCGGTGGAGGGGCTGGGGGGTTTGGTTTTATCAACTGAGTTGGTAATGTAAATTGGCGTGCGTTTTTCCTTCATCAGAACTTTGACGGAGGGCCAAACTAAGTACCCCTGTCTTCTCTCTAGCTAAGCTTTTTATTCTCTGGCCTGAAGCGGTGGGGTCAATAGAGGATGGAGGGGAACAGAGAAAAACGACTAACTAAGCCCTCTTTCATTTCTAAAGGAATAGGATAGGTCCTTCGGCACTTTTGTTCAGAACAGCACTTTATTTGTTTATATAAAAAACTTAGATGTTTTATGGGTCTTCCCACAGCAACTAAGTGATCACCTGAGGGAAAAGGTCAAGGAACAAGCGTCTGAAATAATAGAACTGCGGAAAATGCTGTTGAAGAAAGACGAAGAGCTGGACGCTAGGATGGATGAAGTTAGTGAACTGAGGCGGCAGCTTGAAGAGAGAGACAAGCTTATTGAACAGATGCTTGCTAATAAACAGCTCTGTACCACATGCAGCCGTAAGCTTGTCAATCAAGGGGAGGAGATGGATACAGGATGAAATTGCGCTGCACAGGGTAGAGGAGATGGGGAGAAATAATTTGTTTACAGCACTCCCTGTTGGAGACGAACAGGGGGAGGGAACGCACAAGTGACTTTCGTGTCCTCTCCATAGTCTTTATTCCAAGATTATCAGTGTGAATGCTGTCTCATTTGGAAAGTACTCCTATGACGAACAGCATTACTTAGCTTTTCAAATTTTATTTAATTTAGAAACGCATTTTCTCATTCAAGTTCATAGATAGGAATTGTGTAGGAAAATTTTCAACGCGGAAGGTAGAAGTTATTTTTGTACATAATATGAGAACTTCGGTCGTTTTTGAGTCAAATTTTAAATTGTAGAGAGACGAAATAATGCATTGTGCTATTGTAGCCCACCTCGCATAAGCCCCCATTCTTAAGGTGCAAAACTTTAAGAGGTACCCAGGGCGCATAATTGAATAAATACGGTAATTATTACCTCTGGGATTTGAGGTATTGATCAGAGATGGACAACTTTTTCGTAAGATGGCTCAAAGGGCGTTGTTATTTTTAGACAACAATTATTTAATATTAGCTTCCACCCTTGTTTTTGAAATTTCCCTCTGTTCTTTGACAAATCGTGATCATAGGTGACCATAACAACACAGCCCTTTGTAGAAAGATGAATATTGAAATGCTGTTTTCCGGGTGTATTAGGGATGTTTTTTTAGGGGCTGTATTGTTACTATGGTTTCCTAATATGCCATAAAAGTGATTTAAAATAACGAACAATAATTGAAATTTTTGACTTTGTCTTTAATAGATCACATGGAGAAGTGTGACGATAACAAATAATAAAAGAAGGGGTGTTTAAAATTAACGAAACCAATTTGAGCCAAATGAATAAGAAATTGTCAATTTAAAAAACTGAATAGCGCGTATGTAAAAAAATTGATAGGACTAATTTATCACCAAGTAGAAACGCAAGGTAAATGTTGGTACTATGCTGTGGCTTTTTAAAAGTTTTAATTTATTTTACGATTTGTACATGCGGTTATAACGCATTAGTTTTTCGTATGGACCAAACGATAAGACTGTTGGTAAAGAATACGTCGATATGGAGTTGATTTGAACAAATGTTTCGCGATGTGATATTTTCGTTGCTAGGGTCACGTAAATAGAATTAACCAATCACATTTTAGGAACGTCCATTGATCCCAACTGAATTAAATTGTGCCATTCATTACTTAGGACTAAAGCAAGCACAGATCACAAAGAATAAAGATAGAAATCACCGCTCGTTTCTTGCAATCTGTTTAACAACGGTTGCACTGTACTTTTGACCCAAAGTAAAATCATCCTCGGAGTCTTCTGTCATTTCGACAACGATATTCACTTGTGATATCGCGGAATCTACCCTATTATATGTCTGCGCCAACGATCTCACCCCACCCTCGACAGGGGTTGTTTTTGTCTCGTAAAATAGAGTAGCCCGAGGTCTCCTTTCTTAAATGAACTCGTGGGTAGTTGTGAGGCAAAACAGCCATGGGTCATGAATTTCCGCCTACCTTCTCTCAGAAGGTGTGGGAGAAGCGGTGGCGGGACGGTTCACGCTCTGGACTCCAGGTCGAGAGGTCTGGGTTCAAGACCAGGCTTGGTCATTGTGTTGAGTCTGAGCAAGACTGCATATTATTACAGTTCCCATCTCCACCCAGGACACAGATGTTTACAATCGAACTGTCAGGATGGCTTCACGAAATACTGTAGCGGAGGTAACGTGGCGGTTGACCGGCATCCCATTTAGGAAAAGGCAAAGTTACCCTGGTCGCCCTATGCTACGGAAACCGTTATAAGCCTCAATAAATTGGGCCACAGGCTCGAGTGAAGACCTTCCCTTTACCTACCAGAACTGACTTTGATTTTATTAGAATATATTTTATTTGAGACCTTAGGCAAAAGTGACAATTGAATTATTTAGTCATAAATTGCAGCGAGGATCCAAGACAAGTTAAGAAAAAGATTCCAAATATTTTGAAGTTCCTCCGTCAGGTAATAGTTTATGAAGTATGAAGTATGAAGTATGAAATACATCGGTTATGAAACTGTGTTTTCACCCTATGCTTAAAGTTTAAAAGAGTAATATTAATCTAACGCTGGATTCAAAGCAAGTGGAAGCGAATGGTGCTAAAAATTATTTCAGGCTCTATTACTCGTGCGGGTTGGTTAAAAGGCTTAGAACTATTGTGCTCCTTCTCTAATAAATATTAAAACAGTTCACAAATCACACGAACTATTGGACTCAACAGCCTCCTGAATCTTATCGGATTTTGATGGAATTTTCATGTCACGCCAGTTAGAGAGAAATCTGTGGTTTTGAGTGATCGATGCATATGTCTAAGGGCTCACTTTGAACTCGAAAACTAACCAGCAACCATGAATATTTTAAGCAACGAATTGTGATTTGCATTCACACCTAGTGTTTTTTTAAAAATTTTTTTTCATTCCAGGTGTTTTTTTCACTTTGTTTTGATTTATTTCAATTTGTTCAGTGTTTTTTTCTGTTTTTATTTTTCAATTTCTTTAAAACGTTACTGCTCTTTGATTTCTTTGATATTACCTATGATTTGGTAATTTAGTTAGCCACTAAACCACCGTCCATCCACTCATGTTAGTTACTAACCATTACGTTAAGTAGTGGAGTACGTTAGAAGCACTACGAGTTGCATAAATCTTCTCTGAAATTTCGCAACGCGCTGTTAAATATTTATTTGATTTCAACCTGGAGGTAAGTAGACGAAAACGACCACTTGGCTAGGTATTACAGTGTTTGGTTCGCTGGGTGGAATACTAGCGAAGGTTCTTCAGCTCTTGCAATTGATTTACTCCATGCACTTGCAATTGATTTACTCCATGATGTGATTTGAGTAATTGTTTGTTTCTGTGGTATACGTCATAGCTTTTGGCCATTTCTCGCCTCATGTTTGATCTTGGATTGGCGCACTTTTTGGCCTTAAAGTGCCTCTTTTCCGGGGGTAAACTGTGACAGTTAATTCTCTAGGTTTACTCATCTCTATGACGACTTTTCCACACGTCAATAAATATTTGTAGGGTCACACCACATGTATGTACAGCGGTTGTTTTATCTTACTCATGTAAGCAGCGTGCTCTTTCTGTTTCCAAACACGATTTCTTGGATAAAGATCGCCAACACTGACACCCACAAAATACCGATACTGGACACCTTTTCCCAAGAAAGGATCATTCCTCCGACAGAAAAACCCACCTCCTTGATAAGTCCTTGTAAGTACATAACATACGACTTGAAATTAAATTTGCTTTTCTTGCTTGATTTGTTCTGAACATTGCCACCGTTCATTGAGTTCATCGTGAAACCCGAATTCACGACGCAAGTCGAAGGCAGCCGTGACTCCGAAAAGGTGTCTTCCTCGCCTCCCGTCTCCATATCGATCAATCGCAACGGGTTTTGAACTTCAAGGAGATTTCGATAATTAACGTTTGGCGACTGATCATCGATTGTCAGAGAGGGTCTGGATTCGCTTACTTGAGATTCCCGCCTTTGGGCTGCAAGTGACATGCGTCTGTCCTGGCGAAGAATAAGTCTCTTGCGCTTAAGCGTTTTCAGTAAATTTGTGCTGGCTATCAAAACGCTGCGTGAGCGGTTTACTCTCAGTTTCTTCATAGCTTCTTGGTATTCTTCCATATCTTCCTCCTCAGACTCGCTTTCGTCCGATTCTGGGTGCTCACCCCAGGATCTCACGACAGATGCCACGTAGGCCTGGTAATTCTCTGTAGCCCACGCTGCTAAGATCAACGGTGCTACACTCCAGATCGAGGGTACTAGTGCAAACCACAAGTAGATGGCTCGGCGATTGAAGAAAAGAAAGTTGTAGCCGTTGATGACAAATGACAGAACGGTGGTCAGGACGAGATTACACAACATGAACTATAAAACAGAAAACAATAAGTAACGGATTAAATGTCTGATAAAAAAGCCGATTACCACGATAGAAGACATCGACGAACAGAGCTCTTGAATTTACCGTATTTTCGATTGTTTGCTGAATATTTTACACTTTCAGGAACACGAATAACGATGGGGCTTTGCTGCGCGCGCACTTAACGCGCTGCGAGCTCCGCTATTAAATTCAGTGCCACATGCCGCTAATATGCTGGCTGTAAGAAATAACCAAGGTAGTTTCTGTGGATCAGTAACAATAAAAAAAATCTCTGTTTTTAAGAGTTTGCAAATGCCATTTTGTTTGAATAATGCACCCTTACCAAACATGCATCTGATGATCTTCTAATAAACTGTGACCGATGTTCAAACAACTGCACTGCTTCACGGAAGGTTAGTCTGACATTCGGTTCACGAAACTCTCCCTCCACACCATCTGAAAACAAACATAACTATTTTTAATTCTCTTCCTTCTTCAAAGCAAAAAGAATTTCCTCGCTCACGTGTTAACGATGTCGTTGCTCTTGCTCACGAATGCCTCAGGTCAGTGACACACTTGGCGTTTTTTTTTACGCCGATCACGGGGATTGGCAAAAATCACCAGATGTTCCCGGTGCGATTGCATGGCATGTCAGATATCGGTGATTCGCGTCGGCGAATAAAATCGCTACGTGTGTAACCGGCTTAAGTCGAGCGAATTTCCTTCTCCCTTTTATTTCCCTAAGCCATGATGTAACTCATAGTGGTGACCGTCTCTCATAATTGTTCATAAACTCTTTAATGAAATGTTCTTACTTGGGATTTTTTGACCATGGATTAACATTCTGAACTGAAACTCACCCAAATGAAGTTTTTGTAAATGCAGCTCACCCCCGCCGGGTTTTAAATAGATTATAATGAATGGGGAATTAACGCTTTGCCATTCATTCGTCAACCTGACAGAGTGGGGCGAAATGCGAGTGACGTGTCAGCAGCTGATTGGTGAAACCAAACGCATGTGAAAAATTATCGTAAGTTTATATGTGTGTGGTCAACAACTTTTCTCAGGGCTGGAAACCCTTGTAAAACTGGAAATTTGGGCTGGAAATCCTTGTTAAATACCGCAGTTTTTGTAATAAACATCCTTCCCACACCTTTGAGTGAAAGTTGAAGGTGCTAGAAATACCTGAATCTTACAATAATTTAATAATAATAATAATTTATTACTTATATAGCGCAAAATACATGTGGATATGATCTAATACGCTATCGGAAAGCGTTTTTTTCACTCTTACCTCTGAATTCTTTCATGGAGGCTCCAGTGACATACATAGTGAACAGGATGATAACAAGGAACAATATATAGCCATACAGAACGTGAAGTAAACTAAGCACTCTTACAATGTTGAGCAGGACTGATAACCAGGGCTTTCCTATCTCAAGCTGTACGG